CTGTTGAGCTGGCGAAAGGTGACAACACACAGGGCCAAATCGAAGAGACGCCTCTCGTACCTGATAAATTCAACCACAGAAAGCTGAAGACTTAATATAAGAATAATCACGATTTCGTACGCGATTTCCATTGCATTAAGTACGAAGAAGATAGCAGTGTTGACGATCAGCATACGAACAACGGGCCGAAGCTGAGAGGGGCTGGTTTGTGAACCGTCGGCCAGCTTTTGATGACGAAGCTTTATCTTGATGACGATGGCCACATAAGACGAAACAGTGATAGTAAAAGTGGCCAGGTAGAAGATTAAGAAGAAGATCGCATAGGCCTTTATGTTGATATCTTGGTCCAATGTGGCGGAGGTTGTAATAAAGACTGCACAGAAAACCGCCGCCAGAACCCAGAGTCCGGCCGATATCTTGGCTGCCCGTGTCTTGGTGGCTTTTGCCCGGTGCGTTAGCGGTGCGAGCACGGCTGACAGTCGCTCAACCGCCACGGCGGTCACGAAGCTGAACGAGGCAATGTTGGCCGTAGACACGAGCGATCGAACCACATCTAAAACGAATGGTTCAACATCCTTGGTGTTGATCCACGATACAGACAAACCCAGAGCGAGGAAGAAAGTGTCGGCAACTGCCAGGTTGGCCAAGTAGACGTTGATGATCGTGCGCATGGATTTCACGCGGACGGCCACAACGACGAAAACCACGTTCAACAGGATTCCTACCGGCGAGAGGATCTTACCAATATAATCGTCTATGTCCGCAATCTTTCTGGTGTACGCGCCGAAATCATCCAACAGTTGCCCGTAGTCTGTTGTCAGTCCGTCGCCATCTCTGTCTGTTTGATTCATCGACATTTTGCCTTGATGATGTCTGTACTGTACCACAGTAGTTTTGACCATACTTTGATTGATATACAATGTAGGCCTATACTTATAGACTACTTCATCATGAGATGACCGAAAGAAAAACATAAATTAGGGGAAGTAACTTCTCATTAAATGTGAAGGTCACAACAGTTTTGAAGATCGGTAATTTTTCTTTCTCTTTTTTGGTAAGCGTGTGAACGGGGGGAAGATCGGGCCTGCAGTATAATGCTCCCGGTCGAATCATGCCGAACTTTTCTGGACATGTTTCACAATCTGTTTCGTTTGTACTGAGCTAAACTTGTATGTGGTTTACATGCAGAATTGACCTGCCTATATTTTTTTATGAGTGCTTGATTAAGATTTGGGGAATTCCAAATAAAACTTTCACTTCACTCTTGTACTTATTTTCATCATGTGATAATTATTATAATTACCATTTCGGTGCATGATTAAGTTGGTTTGGCTCATATGTGCACTGTGCGACGAAAGGCAAAGCTTCAAACTCTTTGTCAAAATGCACTTTTATGATATTTTATTTTTGCCACAAAGTTGGTTTCTACATGTATATTCGTACCTATTCGGTTAGCATTCGCAATTATATCCAAAGTTGTAAGGAATAGCTCATTGAGCAAAAAAGAGCCTATTGATTTACGCTTTTGTTTACACTTCAAAACGTCCCGGGTCAGAATTGACCCGGAAAAGGGTCATGTGGGGCCTGACCCTTTTTCGGGTCAAAAATGACACTTTTCTTGGACAAAATTACACTGTGTGACTCGGTTTCCGGGTTATTTTGACCCGGAAAGTCTCATTTTTGACCCGCAAAAGGGTAATTTTTGAGCCGGAAAAGGGTCAGGCCCCACATGACCCTTTTCCGGGTCAAATCTGACCCGGGACTTTTTAGAGGGTAATACAACTGGAAAAACAATCTCGCTAACATTAAGGCTATACATCATTTCTTTTTCTTTTTAAAGGAGAATCATCAAATTTAAAGCGCATTCTGTTTGGATAAAAAGTCTTGTTATGTCACGAGGTATCAAACGTATAGTACATACAGCATCAGAAATAAGGTATAAGTAACCATCGCTACAAACGTGTTATTTTGTCAGTCACGTTTCGATTAAAACAAACGACAGCGAAGGATTATTCTCCGGTTATTGACATATTTATTTTGTTTGGCCACTTGAAGAGAAACTATAATGCAAGTATTATACACACACAAAAACTCGATTTATTGTGTATGACTATAATGCTGTACAAGACCGTTCGATGATCGTTAAAAAAAAGTTTTACAGGTGTACAATATTCCCTGGCAAACTTCACGAAATCAGTGGCGTATCCAGCGGGGATGGGAGCAACTCAAACGCCTGAGGCCTTTCCCCTTTTTTTGCTAATGAAGTGAAAGCGTCCTCTTTATGTTTTATTACGAACGGAAAGAAAAGGGGTTCACTTTTTCGGGGGTAAAATGTCAATTTTGCCCCCACCTTCCGACTCCAAACCTGGATAAGCCACTCTCCCAAAACAATCCCTGCATTCAAACCACTGTTCAAAAACAGGAGAGAATCGTACTTTAATTGCCTGATTAAAGTCCAAGACATCTTCATATATATATATTGCGATAATAATGCCTTGATCTGCGACAATCGAAGATTGAAATGCAGATGGCGTCGCTGCGAACTTGGTGTACGGTTTCAATGTTCGCAGTTGGCGCCTGCGACTCATTTCCGACCTGTCCTTGTGCAGTTTCCGGTGTATCTGCGACAGGTTTCCGACACAATTCATGTGCGACCAATACTTGTCTGCGACGGGTGGCCGGATTCCTCGGAGTCAATTCCAACTTGACCGCTACTTGTCCCTGGCATAACTGCGACTGGCTTCGGGCACGTCTACGATTGCTTTCCGGAGTGTCTGCGATTTGTGTCTGGCTTGTCTGCAACCGGATTCTGACAAGTTTATGGCTTTTCAACTTGTCTGTGACTGCTTTCCGTCCAGTCTTTGACTCGTCAGGATATCTATGGTTCTTGAAGAGCTCCAGGCGGTGGGCTGTCTACGAATTCTTCCTCCTCTTCCTGTGGTCGAAGATTGTCCTCGGCTGGCTTGGGAGATGATTCTGACGGTGGTACAGGCCTAACGATGGCCAACTCGACCTGCCCGCAAGCAACGCGTGGCCGGGAAGGGGCACTCTCAACTCGGCGGCAGGAACGGGTGCGACACGGCCAGGACAAAGTCTCCACCACCGCTGCTCGATAATCGCTATTGGTAACTGAGTACAAGAGGGTGTTCGTGGAACAGTTAATCAAACGCAAGATGAACATGGCTGTTTCTACGCCCAAGCTGGCCAAAGCAAATTCAATGTTATCATCCGCAAACCCGTGGCCAGTCAATATGACAGCTGTCATCACAGCTACAGTGACAACAGCAGAGTTTAACAGAAAGAAAACGATAGTGTTGATGGCCAACATTGTGACAACCTTCTGTGTTCGTCGCTTATTGTTCTGTACATTAGCGGGGTCGGTTGGGTGACGTAGCTTGTGGAACAAGCAGACATACGATATCAAAGTCACTACAAAGGTGACTATGAAGATGGCCCGAAAAGACCATTTAAAAGTGTCAATGACCGTGTCGGTGTTGTCTGGGATGGTTATAATTACGATTGTTAAAATCAACCACCAGGCAACAGCAAAGGCCCAGAGCCCGGCCGAAATCTTGGCAGCTCGCGTCTTGCTGCTTCTGGCCCTGAATCTGATGGGGTGGCGCACGGCGGACAATCTTTCCAGAGCCACGGTGGTCACGAAGCAGTACGATGCGACACTCAGGGAAGAGGCAAGGGCGCCGACCACTTTCGAGATGTCCGGGTTCCACGATGAATAGATCAAAGCTCTTGTCATAGCAACAATGAGGTACCCGGTGTCAGCCACCGCCAGGTTGGACAGATAGACGTTGATGATCGTGCGCATGGACGTCACTCGAAAAACGACGAGGAGGAAAAGAGCGTTCAAGACAATACCGAACAGTGGAATGATCTGTTGAGTTAAACGCCAAATATCATCGTTTTGTTTAGCAGCGTTGTATAAGGCGTTCCGAAATTCGTTTTCTCTTTGAGTTAGTCCATGGGTTTTGGTGGTAACATCAACATCCTCCATTTTCTGTTATAAATTAAAATCACTGTGGTAAGATTTGAGAACGTATAAGGCTGCTGTCTGTTTATGAAGTGCACAAATGACCAAGTCTTCTTTCCAATTAAGTTTGCACTCAGATGCGAAACCTTCTCAATCAAAACGAAAACTCATGACTGTCCTATAGTTCCCTTATCTATCAAAATCGGCTGATGATACGTAAAAGCGAACTTGATCTATGAAGTGTAACACTAAGCATTTTGAAAACAACTTTCAAACAGATAAATACGTTTTAGAATCGACATGACTGTGAGCTCTCAATGGATTACTGTAAATCCTCTGTTTTACATTCTCTTTCGATGTGGAAGACAATATAGTACGTGAGGAACTTTCCCAGCACCTTTTCCTAGTACACAAATCGCAGTCACAGAACGTGCGTTTCTGAAAGAAAAGGGCCAGCGGAAACTGTTACCCCCCCCCCCGAAAAAAAATCTTTCAGAAAACTTTAATGTAGTTTAACTTTAATTGCGTTGTGTCTGTATATTTAGATGGATTTATAAATCGCATGACTTGCAAGTTCTTCAGTCGGTTCGAAGTTGATTTGACGGAGCGGAGTGTGGCTTGAAAAAAAAGTGGGCGTGGTTTATATTTTTGGAACGGTTTGGAAAGTACCAAACTATAACCTGTTAATCCGAAGCAATCTTATTGCTGAAAATATCGAGCAATCCAAGAACCACGTCGTTAATGCCGACTCTTCTGTTTATCCTGCTCCTCATTAAAGTTACACAACTTGAGGAAGACGACGGCGGCGCAATGTTCCAAAATGAACACGCCCCAACGCAAGCCCCGACCAATCATATTGCTTGCCTCTAGTCACTGGCGCCGGATAACAGAATCTTAACATTGATTGGGTGGCCAGTTTGATACATTTAATCGACCGCTCAATATTTTACATTTCCCCTTACATCAGACATTAGTGGGAAAATGAATCCATACGAATTTTACCTTCCAACTTCAGGTCATTTCAGTGGACAGTGTAATCCAAATTTCTACAAGACCCCAATATGTTTGAACACACCTGGCGCTTACTTCTGCGAGTGTGGTGCTGGATTTGAGTGGAACAGCAAGCAGTGCATTGGTACGTATGATAAGTCCCATCGGTTTTGTTTCTTCAAGGACCGTATTGTAAGTGCATCTCCATTACATTTAGTCTTATTATTTTAATCAGCGCTATTTTGGTAGACGTCCGTCTTTGTTTACATGCGGTGCGCCCTCTAGTGTCCAATGGCAACTAGTAATATGGCGGCGCCCACACGGTAGATTATATATTTCATAAAATGTGTGTGACTTTGCTCTTAATTGAGTTCAGTGCATTAATTTTTTTATGATTTTATCTTGTGGGGTTTTTTTTCTTCTATTTTGGGCGTCTGCAACCTGATGAAAGAGACTTTTATTTCGGCATGGCCCTCTCTAGATTTCGATTTCGGTCCCATATTTTTTGGGCATTTTGCGACCAGACAAATGACTGATCACTCATGTCACTGCTGATCAGTCCCTGTGATAAGTCTGGTTCCGGTCCCGGGCCCCCGACATAATCACTTATGATGGGGGCAGAGATCAGTCTAGTATTATAAAGTACTTGTTGTATGGGCCTATGTACAAGAACTGAATTACAAGCTCCAAATGTGGCCCAGATTTGTCTAGACTGCCGTGTAAGTTGTAAAGTTGTAGCCCCATAAATGTTGCTGAAATACTGGACTTCCTCCGTATATTCAGCCACACTGCTACATTATCCATAGGCCCTATGTGTGGACACCCCCCCCCCCCCTTGCTAACTTGCTAAGGGAGCACAAAATCAAATCAAGATTGAAATTATTTTATCATTTTATAATCACCTTAAGTATTCTATGCTGAATAATACTTAATAGCGAAAAAACCCTGTTGAATTCATTACCTTCAGTAGTCCGAGTAACTTGGACCCAACTTATCGCCTTTTTTAACATTTGGACATGGTCTGGCGATATTGCCAGACCATGTCCAAATGTTAAAAAAGGCGATAAGTTATCGCCTTTTTTAACATTTGGACATGGTCTGGCGATATCGCCAGACCATGTCCAAATGTTAAAAAAGGCGATAAGTTGGATCCAAGTTACTCGGACTAACCTTCAGAGGTTTAGTTATCTTATACTTTCGGGTTCAATTCATTCGAATTTCTGCTGCCATTGTTCACGAAAGCAGCATGCTGCAATGACGTCATGGGTTGTGATAATCGCGCCCTCGCTGAGCTTGCGCCAAATTTTGGCAAAGTGCATCAGTGCGGCTGTTGTCTGTCGTTCAATTCTGGTCAAAACTGCATGCATGTGGCGCACTTCAGACCAATACATGTAAACATGTTTTGATGTAAACACATGTTGGCTGATCCTCCCCTCCCCCCACTCCATCCTCCACCCATTGTAGCCCAATCTGTGGACTCGCGTCTCGAGTACAGCGATGCAGAGGCAGACAGCTATGCCGTGCTGCTGGGCAAAAACTTCCCCTCCCTGGAGGCTTTCACAGTCGGGCTGTGGATGCGGCTCAGCTCGGCCAACTACGATGGGCGGAACGGCACGGTCCTGGCTTACGGCTTCCCAAGCAAGAACAGCGAGGAGCTGTGGATCAGCATCGGTGCGAGTTTCTTCGCGATGCGCATTCGGGGAAAGGAGTTGGGCGTGCGGCTGAAGCCCAGCTTGGCCCTTGACAGATGGGTGCACGTTGTCTGCACGTGGACGTCAGACGGTAATGAAAAACACTAGATTACCATAATCCCATAATAAGGGATGTATCATCAGCATTGACATTTAGATTGTCAAAAATGACCTTTTGGGGAGGGGGGGGGAAATGAATAATCATTAAAATGAATAATCAGTATCTTTACACCACTTTACAAACATATAAACAACAAAATTGTCATTCTAACTTGTTTCTCTGATAATAACCCTTCGTATGAAAACTGTAAACATTTGTCTTGACACTTCTCTACGAGAGGCGTTTTGGAGAGAAAAAATATATTTCGACAAAATCGCAGTTTTCCATGTGCGTTAATGTAATGTTATAGCAGTGGTAGTATGAAAGAAGTTTTGGGTTTGCATACAGGTGGTGTTTGGTCGTTGTTCGTCGACGGACGCCAGGCGCACACGTCGGATGGCCTGGCTCCCGGCAAGACAATCCGTGCAGGCGGACGACTGGAGATCGGCGTCCGTCGCAAGCGCGACTTCGGCCCCGGCCGCAGCTCCGACAGCGGCGCGGCGGTCAACACCACGTTCGACCACAGCGTCTCGTTCAAGGGCGACATCAGCTACTTCAACATGTGGAGGGGCGTGTTAGGGGCGGACCACATCGCGGACATGCACGGGGACTGCACGTTCACGTACTGCGGCGACGTGACGGAGTGGGTAGACTTCCGGACGGGAACCAGGGGGGAGCTCAAGCTGCGATGGCCGTCGGGAGTCTTCGGTAAATTGGGCGTACTTTTATGGAACTGCTAAGCAAAACAATTTGCCAAGAAGGTTTATGCGCTGAGCAGAAGCAAACTAAGAGCCACTCCCAAGCAGGGTGCTTGGCAAGAGTTTTAAGCGTGTAAGGTTTGAACCTTTTTTAACTTGTTTTTTTTCTTGTTTCAGAGACATGCATTCGGGATAAACCTCAAGGCTGTGATGCTTATTGCACTGGAACCATTGGTAAGCTGCATCTCCTCATAAATATGTATGAGGTGTGATTTTCATTGATGTTTGATTTTTGTTTGATCATCCACAAAAATGCCAGCAATGTCTGCAATAGTTTACAGAGGATTAATAAGCAATTTTGACTTCCCTGATGCCGTTGGCATGTCTTGTCCAATGGAAAGGCTGCATTTACATGTACTCATAAATATGTATGAGGTGTTATTGATTATATTTGATTATTTTTGGTCATCGATTTATTTTCGGTCCGCAAATGCCAGCATGAGTTTGTGGACAGTTAAGCCATTTTGACGTCCCTGATGCATTGGCATGTCTTGACCAATGGAAAAGCTGCATTTGCTCATAAATATGTATGAGGTGTAATTATCATTGATATCTGATTTTGTTTGGTCATCAAAAGGTCCGCAGTGCCATCATGAGTTTGCAGCGGGTTAATAAGAGATTTTAAATTCCCTGATGCATTGGCATGCCTTGACCAATTGGAAAGCTGCATTTGGCTCATAAATATGCAAGAGTTGAAATGATCATCAGTGTTTGATTTGACATTCGTGAATAGGTCCGCAATGCCAGCAGGAGTTTTCAGAGAATATAGAGTGGCCCCGGACCCCAGTTGGCGAAGATGCCTCCATGCCTTGCCCCGGGGATACCAGCGCAACGCTGAACGACGACACGGATGCAGACCAAGACGCAGACAGTAAGTGAACTCTTGTCAGGAGGTTTCTTGAGATTTGGTGATGAGAGTGAGGAAACATAGAGTCCTGCCCACTTTTACTTTACTGCTCAAACGGATAAAATTAAAGGGCCCATGCAATATATTTCCTTACTGCAATCCTTGAAAATGTATGTTTGTGTCTCCTTGAAACTGCATGTTTGTGTCTCCTTGACCTTATTTTCAATTTCCAATTTGCCATTTTCAAGGGTATTTTCCTGCCTTTTTGGTTTTTATGCTAATGCAAATTTCCATTTTCCTGAGCAAAAGTATGAGGTCATTTCAGGCAGAAACCTCCATGTTGCAGCTATTTCAGCACCAAAACTTGACAGAATTTTGGATATTTTGCCGTTGTAAATTTCCTTTTCTTTGTTGATTCGTTTTTTGTCAGTACATGACAGTAGGCCAGTGAGCAAACTTTTCTCACAAATGTTTTCAATGAACAAATTTTTGTTTTCGTAAGTTAAACAGAAAACCCCTAAACTGAACAGTGTCTTCCTGAAATGACATCACAGCAACAGCACCCTTAGTTGTCCGGAAATGAGTGAAAAATGCAAAATGTTTGAAGAATTGCAAATTTCAGTAAAATTAACCAAAAAGGGATGTCATATGGTTTTCATACCTTTAAGAGGAGCAGAAATTTGTACAAAATATGTTCTTCAGAAAAATTCATCTAATGAACCCTTTAAGTAAATCTGATAAAATTGACGGTGATTGCTATAAATATATCATCTTGGTGGAACTACCTGAGGAAAATTGGGGCAAAAGGTTTTGCATTTCTTGGAGCCCTCTAAGAATGTGTCTTTGCGTCTAATTTTGTAAACGTTTAGCAATTATTTTATGAACCGTTTACACATTTAGCAATTTCACAAAGGCTGACGTGTTTCCATTTGTATATATCAGCAGATTGGCGTGATTGTTGTGACATGATAAATCAACAATATTTAACGTAATAAATAGCGGGCAGTCATTGAAAAAGTAAAAACTTAACTACGTGTACCCGAATGTAATCAAGTACCGCAGTGCTTCTAAGGTTTCGTAAATTAAATTCTTTCGAAAACATCGTTTGTTGTTTTTGCTATGTATGTTAAGCTCAAAGAAAGATCGCGTGAACGTAGGTCAGTTTTCCATAATTCTGGTTTCGTTTAAACGTTTTGGAAAATTTTTAAACGGATTTTGATTTTTTTTGTTTAAACGTTTGGACGTGTAAATGGTACAGAGCCCTCCCACATTCCTTTGGCCCATCCTACAAAATTAATCCCACCATGATCGTCCTCAAATTGTTGCCACAAGCACTAATCTGTGCCATTAATTTTATTTGCTCATTCAACTGATCTTTCATAAACAGTACCGCAAGGCAGTCGCACTTGCCTTGGAGATGGCATCGTGGGGGAGGAGTCAGATGATCTTCTGTGGGGGGAGGCAGACGTGACCGAGTGTCTGTCTGAAGATGTCCGACTCTTACAGCTCAAGGTAAAATTCCAGAAAAACGTCGGATTAGTCTATGGAAACTTGTGCAAAGTACCCCTTCAATGGTGTACGTCACGCGTGCTGCATAGCTACTTGTTACTACCCTGATAGTTTGAAAATTATCCAATAAATGATGCATAATTGCTTTGTAAAGATGTACGAGAAGTAATAATAATTGCTGGGAATGGGTCATTAGGGAGACTTTCCCATAGACTTGTGCACAAAATTGTTCAAACTTCAATGTGCCCTAACCCAATATTCCCTTCTCCTTTTTCCACGAATTTCGGTACGTTTACTTATAAGACCACGAGCAACACATTAAACCTTATTGCGACAGTAAAATTTTGCCTCTAAAGGGGGCTGTGCCATTAGGGAGACAGTTATGTGTCTCCCTAATGACCGGTGGCTCCATATTATCGAAGAAATTACGATAACGTGTCTCCCTAATGGTACATTTAGTAATTTAATTCAATTTACTTTCTTCTTTTTTTGCAAAGATTGAGAGCCTTCACAGCAACATCTCCAGAGGCCTGGCGTACAATAGCTCCACGATCTCGGCTCTTTTAGAGGAACTACACCGCAATGCTGTCCAGTACCGGTCCAATCCGGCCGACATAACGGCCGACATCTACGGGGTTCAGACGCTAATCAAGATCCAAAACTCCACGCTGAGTCTTGACGCACTGGGTTACCCTAGCAGAGAGGAAATCTTGCACTTTGCTACGGTAATACTGTCTCCCGGTCTTAACTCCGTTTTCGTAGTCTAACAGGTTTTTGGTAAAAACAAACTGTATTGAGGTCTTTGGTTGACCATGCAGTAGTCTTGTGGCATAACTATTGAAAGATTGTATCATGGACTTGATACCATGTGTTTATTTGCATTTTAGTTAATCATAAATTTGGAACTCTTTATTCATGGTATTGAGAATTCCAGATTGTACTGGGTGAGTCAGAATGATCTGGACCGAATTTAAAGAAAATAGTAAAAAATATGTAGCAATTATCAAAAGGATAGGCTGGTAGTTTGGACATATTTAGTGAAAGTTTCATGTATATCCGTTGTACCATTGTGAAGAAAAGCGCTAGCAAAGAACACACGCTAAAAAAAACACTCTGAGCATGCGTTAAAAACCGCTTGTTTCATATCATACAGTTAGATATTTCTGTAAGAGAATGTTGACTGATGTTGAGCTGGAGTCTCCAACGTTAGGGACCCAAATGTCAGGTAAAGCCGAAATGGAGACGACATTGTGTTTTGGAATACTCCTAGTTAACCATCGTCAGATTTAAAATAGAAAATGCAAAGCAAAGTGCGTTCCTCGTACGATCCGAGTGCATACTTTTAATAGGCACAGGTTTTTAAAATGCAAGCAATGAATATATGAATTCCTCCCGTTTTGGTCACGTGACATGGTGGCTACCTGACCTAATGATCGTCAGAAATAGTCAGAACCTTTTGGTCTGGGAACCAGACTATGTGCAACATTGGGGTGCTTCAAAGCACTGTGTATTTATAATGATAAATACCCATTATTATTATTAAGGCCAAAAAAAAAATATTCGGTCTCTGGTCAGACCAAAGTTCCAGAATTGACGCGGCCACGCGGCTTTTTTTTTTCTTCAAGCTTGGATTGTACAGACAAGGTGGGTACTATTTTGCTTTTTTGGTGTCTTCATGTACATTGGTGTCCTCCTTAATTTGCCTTGGTGCTTTCGATCATTTGCCTTGGTGCAATTTCCCATTCCTTGGCGCTCTTTGGTAAAAAAAAATGAGGAGGTGCGGAAATAGAGGGCGCTGTTGGAGCTACCGCGGAACATTTTGGGAAAAAAAAAGATCGACGCGCATGATTAAAATTGACGCGCGCGCTGACCAGAGACCGACTTATTTTTTTTTTTGGCCTAACAGTGCAGGCATACCCTACTGTACAACGGTGACAAACGTTTTACCTCGTATTTTTGCCCAGGTTGTTTGCAACATCTTTGACATCATATTGGACGAGCGGAACAACCCAGCCTGGCGCGGCACCGCCCCCCGCGGGGCGGGGGCCATGCGCGTCATTCACGCCGTGCACGATTTCACCGATTTGATGGCCACTAGCCTCCTCTTGCACATGGGTACCGGCGAGTCGGCAACCGACGACAGTTCCATGTGGACGCACACTGGTTCTAGTTTCGGTAAGAAGGTTATTGGGTTAAACTGGAGACCTGCAGGGGCCAATTTCACGGCGCTGCTAAGCACAAAAAATTGCTAAGCACTAGAAAAAGTTTGGCTTATTGAAGCAGGTTACCAGCCAAAACTCCATGTGATGTATATTGCTCGTGATTAGCATTCAGCTGTTGTTTGCTATAGTATGAACAAATCACGTGGAGTTTTAGCTGGTTAACTTCTTTTAAAAGCCAGGCTTTTTTTTGTGCTAAACAAATTTTTTGTGCTTAGCAGCGCCGTGAAATTGGGCCATGGCCTCATGTACCCAGATGAAAATTCCAGTTGAAACCAAATTCAACTGGTTTCAACTGGTTTCAGCTGGAACTAGTTGAACTGAAAAAGTGGTGGTGGTGCCTGGTTTTGAACTGGTTTAACTGGTATTTGAACTGGCTTAACTTGTTTTGAACTGGTATAACTGAATGAAGAAAAATAATTTATTCCCTTTTATGTTTACCCCAGCATTTCACGCGCGAGTTGTGCAGCCAGAGAACTTTGAAGGGTTAGTGTTACCAGACAGCTCCCCTGCAATGGCCTCCCTGAATGACGATAACGGATACGTGGATCTGCCCGAGACGCTGTTTGAAGAAATGCCCGAAAATGGCTGGCCAGGTATTACACAAGCAATACACTGATGTTATTGTTAAAGAGTCGTAATCAAGTCATAGCAAATCATGATCAATCGCAAGTCAATTCCAAGCCGTCACAAGTCAGTCACGTGACCTCTTGCAGACATCAAACCACTTGCCAGGGATTTGTTCGATTAAGTTTCATGTTCATTGTCTTTTCCGTGGAGCCAAATAAAATGTGAGTACCTTCCCCCCTTTTTTTTGCTGCAGAGAATGTCGTCATTACCTACACCAGGTACAACTCCACTTTGCCGGAGTATCTTCCCAATCACCCAGAGTAAGTGTGCAAGTTTGTCTCTCACTTGGCCCTTTTCTTACCACACTGCTTATTGACTTGGCTTTATTGTCAAGGATTGCATTTATAAAATGGGGCATGTGTGGTCTAGCGGTAGAGCATAGGATTAGAGTAGAGCAGAGCACATGATCGTGAGATCGTGGGTTCGAGTCTCGCCGTGGCCATGCGTGTTGTGCCCTTGTGTAAGGCGCTTTACCTCGATTACTCCTCTCAGCCCAGGTGTTAAATGGGTACCAGCATTATTCAATGCTGGGAAGGTAACAGACTGGCTGTGGAGATCCCCCACAGCAGCGTTTCATGGACTCGAGTCTGGCCCAATCGCTTCGAAACAGAGATGGGCACTCCATTCCTGTGAACACAGGTTCATCCCATTTACCCTTTAAAAATAACATTGCATGGGCCCTTTAAGAAGCAAATTTGGGTGGTGAGCAAAAATATCCGTCACAAAGCATTCAACTTAAAACCTGTGTTACTAAGAAATATATACCTTGCTTAGCAGCTTTGCCCAGCAATTTGTACTAAGAAGCAAAATGAAATTGGCTAAGGGTCAAGAAGAGTAAATTTCAGTGTCACATCTTCCATCTTCAGGCCGGTCGTCGTCAACTTCTACCGCGACAAAGCCAAGGAGCATCTGCACAAGGAGGACAATGTCAACTCTGTCGTCATAGCGACCAGGGTGCATCTGAAAGATAACGGCATCGTCTTCTCCAACACGTCCGACCCGATCAGCTACGTCATGAAATACAAAATGGTGAGTGCATTGAATCCACATAATTATACCAAAATAAGGCTGCGTGTATGTTTCGTTTGCATTACAAAATGTTAACAAATCTGTGTAGTTAAAGTGCGTTACAGTGGTGTGTATTACTACCGGTAGTACAGGAACCGGGTACCCTATTGAAGTAAAACACGGGAAGAAACCCAACCCCTGAATTCAATTCCCAACAGTTGTCTGTAGGGCTCGATAGCTTTAAGGTAAAAACTGCAACTTTTGCTAGCGTCATCTGTTGCACGTTAAAATGCACATAAACATGAAATCTGTTTTGGTTTTATCAAGTAGCCTTGTTTTCATTTTGAAAAATCCTCAAAAATGGCATTCAAAATTTTCTATTTCATTTGTCTGAGAAGTTACTAAGTAATTTGTGAAGTTGGCTACGGGTACTCGATTCCATAATGTGGAACCGGTTCCTGACATCAGCAGTCGGGTACTCGGGTACCCGGTTCCGACGCACACCCCTAGCGTGTTAGATGCTATGGGAATTGTCCTGTTTTCTGTATTTTGTTTTAAAGAAGAATTAACAAGAAAATATTCATATTTTGTTTTTATGGTTTTTTTTGGTTTTGTTTGTTTGCAGACGCTGAATATCTCCAACCCAGAATGTGTGACTCTCGTGACAAATCCAAAGTAAGTAGCCAAAGATCAAGCACGAATTGTGAACTGCTAGCCGTCAGAAAAAAATTGTTTTGTAGTAAAGTCATTTTCCAGGTCCACAATTTTGCACAGAGTCTGAGCAACGTCCATATCAGAATTTTAAATAATCTGAAATATCAAAAATCCAATATTGAGAATATTTGATATATCGATTATCCCATGTAAATGTTAAAGAACATAAAGATGACACTTTGTTAAAAAAACAACAAAAAAAATCTTAAGTCCCAATTTTCCACGGCTTTCTCCGGAGCATATTGCTTGAACTTTTTAAAACAAATCTCTGCACTGAGAATTTGTCCAGAACGGGCGGTTTCTTTTGAGCTTTTACATTGGGGAGACCGCAAATTCCAGCGAACGCAGAGCACAAAGTGACGCCACTTGACGTTTTGCGATGTTTTTATTTTGAGTCACTAGCACAAGTTGCCGCCAAGTTTTATTTCATTATACAGCAAACACAAAGTAAAACCACAAACGGGAGATTTATTTTGACGATAATCTGGCATATTTTTTATATTTCCGATATGATTCCTAAATTTCCGAAAATGGTGATATTTCGATATGATAAAAAAAATTGCTATCGGCATATCGATATCAAAATAATATCGATTAATGGCGTAATATCTGTATCGACAGTGCTTAACGGAGTCCATAGGCTTACCTACACAACAGACACAAAAATGGACTGAAAATGCACTTATTGAAACAGCAGATTTTAGAGCAATAGTTTCAGTTGTTTGTGTTTCTTGACATTTTGTCTTAATAGTCCACACGACTGGGCGTGGACCGGGAGTGGTTGCGAGGTGACGGAGAGTGACAGCGAGCACGCTCAGTGTAGCTGCAGCCATCTTGGCATCTTTGCGGTCACCACGGACATGTACGACGTCAACGTGAGTTCACGTCGGTCGTTTATTAAAGGCCGCGGAAACTTATCAATGGTCTTACAGAGATTATCTAAGATTAATAGAATTACCAGCTCTGGAGAACTTGAAAAAGATTATTGAATGCCAATTGTGTGTGTACATTTTTGGTTTCAATTTATTTCTGTTGGTTGTGATAACTGCTAAATGTTCTGAACTTGGGGGAGAAAATGGGATTTTGGGGTCAAATGAAAATGTTGATTATTCGGATGGCCCTATTTCCATGATGCGGCTGGGTAAGCTTGTGTAGGACCGTAACTACTAAGCGAGAGTATTTCAGCCAAAATCAGCTGTCTTTATAAGCTTGGTCATACATGGTGAATATACAAAACTGTTAGCTGACAAAAAGAATAGGGGTGGTGATTTTTGGAAGAACACCCTTTCTACTTTTCAAACGCAATTTCTCTTAAGAGTTTAAACAAATCCCAGGAATGTGGGGATTTTGTTTCCTAAATTTTTCCTCAAATTGGTTTAGATCATTGATAAGAAAAATGTGCAAAGACTGCAAATATTTCTTGAGATCTCCAAAGGACCCCTCTCTACTCTTGACTCCCTCTGCCCTGCCCCAGCTCAATCCCCACCCTTGACACTTCCTCGGGTCATTGAGAATGTCCCAAATTTTAAGCTCGGCTTCTTATTTGGTGTACTCCATTTTCGTTTTTGCATTTTGTCAGTGGGACCCCGGCGAGCCGCCTCATTTCTACCTGACGGTTGCTTCTTACATCGGCATCCTTGTCTCCCTGAGTCTCTTCACCACCTCCATGGCAGTCTTCATTTACCTTAGGTACAAGAGAGCATCGAGACAGTTCTTTCTTAAGGGTTGTTAAATTTGGCCTGTCCTAGAGTACTATGCCACTGTTTGGAATTCTGGTGTGTCTATTGTTATTATTATTATTATTAATTATTTCTGGTAATGAAACCAACGATTCCTTAAAAGCGCCCTAGGCACTGTAGCTCGCAAGCCTGATAAAAAAAAACCTGTAGAAAGAAGACAATCGAGAAGAAATTACAGTTTTAGAGGTGGGAGGAAAACCACATAAGAATATTCTGGGGAAAACCCACGGAATCAGGCAGGGACTGAAAACCCAATCCACATATTGGTCCACGTTGGATTGGAACCCGGGTCACAGCGGTGGAAGGCAAGGAAAGTACAGCAACGCCAGCCTGACTCCCCCAGTCTGAACAAAATTTAAAAACTTTAGAAGTGTGCATGCCACCTAGTGTTAGCGACTTGCCACAGATCATAAGAGCAAGCCTTAAAACAGTGCAACTTGGCTACACTATCCGATCATAGGAGCAAATTCTGTGCCAAATGCTTATACCAAAATATTACTTTCCCCCAACTCAAACTTAAAGGGTCCGTGCGATGAATTTTTCTTAGGAACACATTTCTTGCAATTTTCTACACCTCTTAAATGTATGAAAACTATTTGACATCCCTGTTTGGTTAATTTATTTAAAAAGTGCACTTCTTTAATTTTTTGTTTTTTAAAAATGCCATGGTTTTCCGGACAACTGAGGGTGCTGTTGCTGTGATGTCATTTCAGGAAGACACTGAACAGTTTAGGGTTTTTCTGTTCAAATTGTGAACCCAAAATTTGCTCATTGAAAACGTTAGTGAGAAAGGGTTGTTTATTGGCTTACTGTCATGTACTTTATACACAATGAGGCATCAAAGAAAAGAAAATTTATGACGGCAAAATATCCAAAATTTGGGCAACTTTTTTGTGCCTAAATAGCTGTAATATTGAGGTTTCTGCCCGATTGACGTCACAGTCACTAGAAACCAAAAAGGCACCAAAATGCCCTCAAAAATGGCAAAACGAAAATTGAACATGAGGTTAAATGGGACACAAAGGTGTATTTTCAAGGATAGCATTAAAAATTACATTGCGTGGGCCTTTATGAGACTCGTTCAAGGTTGACTGATTAACTGACGTGTTTTCAATGCTCTTCAATTGTCATTCCCTTCTCAGGTGCGAAACTGACACGGTGGCTGTGCATCGTAACCTGGGCATAGCGATGATTTGTCTCCAGTTGTGCTATTTTATTGGGATCACACGTGATGAAAACGAGGTGATTTACCCCTTTGTCATAAAATTTGTAAAAAAAAAAAAAAACGGATGTAGTAGTTCATTTTACAGTTATTAATTGGGTTTTAGGAGGAACTTATTTCACATTTCATCTGCTCAAGATGTCAACGTTGCAGTGCAATTTATCTAGTATTTCAAATTGGATGTAGCAGATGACTTGAGACATTTGAGGTCAAAGGTCATCTAGGGGTCAAATGAGGTCGTTGCTGATTTTGATTAGGCACACTGAAAAGTGTGCTTACTAACTTACTGTATAAATACTGCCACCATGACAAGGAGATCGCGCATGTTTAACTTACAGTAATTTTTTTTCACTTATATGCCATAAAAATTTGACCGAAAACAAAAACTATTAAGTTTTGGAAAGCTTGGAATTTCCCCATTTTTTTGTTACTTCTCAGTTGCATGCCTGGTGTAGTAAGGCTTGTTGCATAATAGTCTTATTTCAAGAAATGTGAAATCTCTTCCCCCCCCCCCATTCTATGCAGGCCCTAGGAATGCCACCAGTAGAGCATGCTCTCAAACGATCCATTCACAAGAGGAGACTAGCAATTTGAAGCTAGTCTCCTTGCGTGAGTGAATCAATTGACAGCGCCCTCTGCCGGCAACTTTCCTAGAGCAGGCATGCATAAGGGCAGCAACACCTTTAAAAGTACATCTTGAATTAAGACTAATTTCACAGTCTTATTTGTCCTCTCTGTCTCTTGTACTTTCAAGACTGTCTGCAAAGTCTTTGCCATTGCCATCCATTTCTTTGTCCTGTCTACGTTTGCGTGGATCTGCAACGAGGCATTCAACTTGTACATGGAGGTGGTCAATTCCATCCACGCTGACACGCAGCCGCAGGGCAATATGCTCCGATACTACATCATTGGATATGGTATATAAACAGTTTTCCAGAAAATATAAATCTGATATTTTTTTTTTACGACAAAGTCTGTTTTGTTTTTTTCTGAATTAAAAAAACACTGAGTACATGTACACTCAAACTCTGTTGGGTCTTCCGAATATATTCCCTGTGAAATCTCGGCTTTAAAGCTGATTTCAGCTTCTTTTGTTTCTTGGATTTCAGCTTTTTTCCCTCACTTGCTGTGTACAAAAGTATAGGAGATTTCCAAAGTTTTTTACACCTTTTTTCAGCTGTTTTCTGCTAATTTTATCGGTGGTCGCTCACACCCCTGTATTTTGCATTGACATGTGCAATAATAATATGCAATGATATAATATGCATTAATACTATTGAAATTGGAATTGTGATACTCTGAATTCAAAATTTGAAACTGGCGATCTGTTACATAATGTTGGGCTATTTTTTCTTCTTCTTTTATATGTCTGATTGGGAATTTATGTAATTTGAGTTGTAGATTTGCTTCGTGTTCAAATTAATGTTGCAAAATATGATTAGGGTATGTATTGACCCTAACTCCCCAGCCTAATTTACTAGGAACCATACCCATTCTGGCAAATTCCAACACCCACATGGGAGATTGTACACACGCACTGTTGGACTTAGTTTCTGGAGGTACGCCAACCCCAGTGTAAAAGACCATCTGTTTAGGGGTACTGTACCTATCCCAACAGATTTAAACACAAACCTGCTGTTGAACTTTGATGGGTTGAGTTCGGTTAGGGTTAAAAATAACTTCTTTTTTAAACTCTATTTCTACAGTGTTTCCAGCAGTTCTCGTGGGTGCTGTGGTCAAGATCAAGTGGGACACCTATTTCTCGCCAGACGTGTGAGTGCAGTTGTGAGGGGGGACTAGCAGAGCTGCCAACTCTCCCTGATTCTGCAGAAAGTTCCCTGAAAATAAACCAATCTTTCCATAATCTGATGAACAAATTTGAAAATCTCCCTGATATGGAAACTTTTTCCCTATTATGTTGAATGTAATTCTAAATATGTCCCTGATTGTTGTACAAAATCTCCCTGCTTGCAAGATGCAAATGTTGGCAGCTCTGGGGGAGGCGGAAATTTTACAAAATATTGGAAGACGGAAAGAATCATGTAGAATTCTGCAAATGTTTTTGTTTGACTGACTCACTCCCCGACTCCCCGATTGACTCACTCCCTGACTCCCCGACTGACTCGCCAACTGACTCGCCGACTGACTAACCGACTGACTCACTGACTGACGTCATTTGATGCGAACTAGTTAAAGGTGACATTCTGATTAATAAAATATCCATGATAAAAAAGACACGTCTCAAGTGGCTGCAGGACTGATCAAGTAGATGCTAGTGTCGATTCCAGATTATAATTTTTTTGAAATGTCTTTTGAACTGTTCATTCTTTTTCACAGATGTATTCTTGACACCAACCATATATGGTTTTTGATCGGCCCCGCTGGCGGACTGTGGGCGGTAAGATTTGATTTGTGAAAATCCAAAAAAATGCCAAGTTTATTTATCAGTTTATTAGGGGTCATCGAAAGCCCTGCTTGTTTCTGTTGGTTTCCATGTGTGTATGGTTTTGTGTATGTAACTGTTACTGCAATAAGCGAGTTCGTATTGGACAATTTTTTTTCCAGGATAACAGCGGCAGATAAATTTACACAAGGCTACGGGGGACGTGGTAACCAAATCTGCATTCTCTGCAATTATCGCGCAATCGAAACTTTCATTCACACAAAAAATTTGACACACAAGATACCTAAAAACACTTCGCTGTCCAAATTTTTTTGCAAAATGTTATACTTCAGAACACGATGATCTCTTCAATTTTGCTGGTACCCCGCTATGCTTTTTCACACATACGATGAAATTTTTTTCCCGAAAAAAAAATCGGCAAATCTTGATGTGCACGTGGGCAGTTTGAAGACTGAACTCGCATATTGAGACTTGTTGCTACAAAGACAATGTTTTGATAAACGAGAAATGATAAAACTGTTCGATTTTTTTCTTTCTTTTAGGTGACAGTTTTTGTACTCGTCTACACGGGCAAAGCGATCATGGAAAGTTCCTATTCCAAAGATCGGGAGGCCAACAAAGTCACCGGGTGAGTAAATTATACAAATACTTTCGCAAGAACGTGTGCGCCAAGTGTACGACCAGCGTTGCGTCATGGATGCGCATGTAAACGTCACCGAAATATGCATTGGCAACACACGTGCAACTGCTGGCTTGCCATGTAGCGTGAAGATGCAAAATGTTACAAGATGATAAGGAAGTTTTATCAGAGGTCTTTTTAACTACTGTCGCAATCAATCAGCTTGAGAGGATTATCTCATTAAAAAAGGAGTATTTGTCAACTTTTTAAAAAGGTTCGCATACAGAGATTCTATTTTACACCTACTTCAACACAAACGGGAATGCGAAGTTAGTGTTCGCTAACTTGGCGTACTTCGACGTTTTCCCCAACGTTCCTTATGCAGTGTTGCCAAAAACTTCTTCAAATTCATTCAATTAAATACTGGCACTGTTACCTTAAAAAGGCTTGCTGTTTTATCTTTTGTGAACAATTTCAGTGTTATTAAATTTAGTCCGAAATTCAGAAACGGTGGCGTCTGAAAATCGGGCACAAAATCGGCTGAGTGTTCCCTAATGTGGCGCACTTATATAAATCTCAGACAATCCCAAGTTAACATTTAAGAATTTATTCAAAGTTAATAAATTCTGATAAACCATTATTATGTCTAACTACAAACCCAACTAGAAGTCTGCAAGAAAATTATTTCCATATTTTTGGGCGCATTTTCAAAGGGTCCACTGTGCACTTCGAAATAAAATCGGAAAATCACCCCAAAATATATATCTCTGCTAACTTTGTAACGGGTAAATAAACTCACGATTTATAAATGGGAATGTTTAGAGCTTAATGAAATTTCACCTACTGTGAAATTTCAGGTAAAACTCGTGCTCTAGCAAGGGGATAGAGGCGAACAATAAAAGTGCGCTACGTTAAGGGCTGCCAACGTTAGGGTTCATCAGCAATACCCCTTTAGCAAAACGTGTAGTTTAACTTCTCTATTTCTGGAATCTCTTCTATCGTCAGGAACCACTGCAAGGGCTGTTGGATTCAGAGCGTCTTGATGCTGATTGCCTGGGCTTTCGCTATCACCTCCATCTTGATGTACAGTGTCATCCCGCAGATACTTTTTGCCATGTTCAACATCTTACAGGTTAAACATTAAAGGGAATATACATCATTTGCTTTTGCTGTAATTTTCAGAAATGGATGGAATTGGGGGGTTGGAAATATATAGCAAATATAGTTACACTGACTTTTTTGAGGTTTTGGGTTCGAAAATGCTATAAAAACCAAGAAAAACAATCATTTTCCTGTAGTCTGGTTCCCTGACTCCATTTAAGAAGAAACAGAGCAGTTTACATATATTGGGGAATTGTAAGGTCAGGGAACCAGTCTCGCTGGCTTGTACCCGTTCATAGGTGTGTAATCGATTGCAAACAAGTGCAATGGTCAACTGGGGCCAGTATTTGAAAAAAAGCCAGTTTTTTTCCAACGCTGATCGGCCGATCAGCGTTGGAAATTGATACAAAAATACCACTTTTCTTGAAAATGACAGTATACCAGGTGCCATGATTTTACAGGATGCTTTACACTGTCATTCACTAACAGTCCAGCAAGGTATTTCAAAATGATTTGGTAGTTTTATTTTTTGATGTTTGCACAGAACGCCGTCACTGAGGAAGTTTTGTGGATAATCCGAAAGATTAGGCCCAAATACAATCTAAAACACGTGAATAAATAGTGATAATACAAATTTGGAAAAGGACATAATGCTCAAGGGCGTCAATCGCTTCTCAAAAGTGGGGGCGCATACCTTGATTAGCACTAATGCGAGCGCGAAATGCGAAGCCTTAATGGCATGAGGTTTTGTGCCCTCTTAAGGGCCCCGAAAAACGTTGGATTCTAAATGTCTGTGGTGCAATCTGAGGTAATTTCTCACCACAAAAACCAATTTTTTTTTTAGCAAAAGATCACCTTTTAAACATCATTTTTCGAGTTTGGAGTCATTGAATCAGCTATTCTGAGCTATAGAATCATCGTAATAGGCAATAATTTTTATTCAGGGACGAAAAAGTGGAGGGGGGACAAATGATGATATTCCCCCACTTTAAAAAGTGGGGAGGTCTTGTTCCCCCCGTCCCCCACCGATTGACGCCACCGATTGACGCCCATGATAATGCTAATATCAAATCTAAATGCTGCCGCCTTTGTAAGGCATCCCAACAATGCTCCCTGGTATAGAGTTCCAGACGTGAATAGCTGCCGGCCAGTTATGTGATGCGCCTGAGTAGGACTGGGAATGCAGTTTTGTAATTTTTGAAATCTACTGAGATGTAAATCACTTGGCATTTACTCAGAGTAGGTGCTCACAGTTGATCATTATAAAGTGTCTTGCCCAAGGATACAATTGTCGTGGTTAGATTCGAACCCACACTCCTGAAGTCTATGCCGCTACAATCCACTTAGTAGAAATAATAATATTTCATGCCTTGGAACCTGGATAAACACAGCTATGATAATTTATCTGCAGACATTACTTATGTATGTCTGTATTTAGCTTTGGCGCCTGAATTTTTCCATAATGTTTTTGTTTTTGTCAATGATAGGGGGCGTTCTTCTTCGTCTTTTTCTGCGTACTGAACGGCGAGGTGGTGGAGATCTTGGCCGAGCGTCGTTCCACGCTTGGCCTGACAGTGTCCCCCAGCATTCCCCGCTCCACCAAGTACAGCGTGTACCGACGCTACGTACCCATCAAAGCATTAGGTAACCAACAACTGCTGAAATGTTGAGTTAATATCCTGTCTCAATTCATATCCGGGATGAGTTTCCGACAAGTTTGCCGACAGTGTCATTGGATATAAGTTGCAGGATTCTAAACGACTTCCTTGCAATCTTCCCGCAATGAAGTTGCCAGTATTGCTAAGTCAAGCATGTTTCTCCGAAACATGTCCGGGACAAATGCAGAGCTTCTTCCAGACAAAGTGAATGATTCTACCCGCAACTTGTCCGGAACTCGTCCCAGATATGAGTTGATACGGGCCCTAACCGCGTTCTCTTTCTCACTAATTCTCCACCAAAATAACCTTCAGTCCCAATTACACAAGATAATGAATCTGTTCGGTATTCCCTAGTGTATTCCGTTTTATATATCTATATATGCATATCCAATGAAAATCATCTCCTATCACATAATTCACAGTGCTCGTTTCATCCCTATATACATATAATTTGTTTTTAGTTTGTTTTTATATCATCAATATATATATTTTATAATGATTCTTTTTGATCATATTTGTGTGTATATATATATATATATATTTTTTAATAATTGTATAATATTTTTTAACCAGTCCTGTAATTGGCGGTTTGTTCTGCTGTTGGATGTGGATAATAAATAAATAAATAAATAAATAAATAAGGAAAGTGGTAACCAAATTTTCAATTTGTAAGTTTCCATGCAGTCAAAAAAGAATGGAAACAAAGTTAGCACGTCATTCAGATAAACTAAAAAGTACTTTACAACTTGCTGCATTCCAAAGCACTGTAGGTTATATGTGATGTGCCCAGAAGTCCCGCAAAATCTTGCCTGTTTTTTAGGTCAGCTTGCATGCTCCATTGTCTCTTTAGCAAGACAGCTTTAAGTCCTAGAATTGACCATGGCCTCTCTGCCCTGAACATTCCACCTCTCAGCAGGGAGTGGCAAGAGGCGCGGCCAGCCCGCCGCCCAACCCCAACCGATGGCCGACACCCCGGCCAGCCCCAAGGAAGTCCAGCGTCAGCGCCAGCCATGCCTGCCGTCCTCCAGCGCAGGCGAGGCCTCGCCGGACCTGCGCAACGAGGAGATGATGGGGGTCAAGGGCCACCGCTTCCTGGCCGGTGGCGGTGGGGGCAGCTCGGGGCCGGACTCCCCGCTGATCGGGGTTGGAAGCGGCCAGCTGCCAAGGAAGTTCAAGGGGAGGAGAAGCAAAGCTGAGGAAACGGTGAGCGCTGCTTTTGATAATTTGTTTATTTGAAAAAAACACACAAATAAAGGAAAACACTGCTGCAAACTGACTTGTTGGTTGGTTGGTTCGGTCCCGTCATGACTGGCAGCTCGTGACCGGTTTAAAGCCGGCCAAGAAGCTGGACACGATAATGGCCTGAACCCAAGGCAAGGGCCATTATCCGCGACAAGGCCCCTAGTTGGTTTTAAACAGTTCTCTAAAACTGGCCAAGCACATATTTATCCACTTACTATAATTTCCTTTAATTGCTTTCTCCATGTAATACTGGAAATACAAAAAAAAAATTACTCAAAATCAAGATTTAAGTAAATCACTCTGAAACTGTGGTGTTTATCTGTAATAAGTATTATAAGGATTATCAGTTTTCTCTTGTAGTCCATAATATCTATCATATAATGTATTTGGGTTGTGTTCTTGTAAATTTCGTGCTGATTCAGTTATTTTCACGATTTTTTTTTTTTTTTTTCCCTCTTCAGAGCATGGATGTGATTGCCATTCGTCCACCCAGCGATACATTTCCCGAGATCGATACGGGTGATATTGTCACGACAGTCTAATTACACCAGGGTTTCCAGTTCAAGACCTTTTTGGTCTTTATGCTAATGAAAATTTAGTTATGACTTAACTGAGGGAATAATAATTTGGGAGGCTAATTATCCTTACTCGCAGCTGGTATGCTGAATTGCGAAGGACGTGGCTACAACGTGGTCGGGCAGCTGGCACGTAAAGGCGCCTATGGCTGCCGGCCACATCAACCCATATATGACCACGGAGCACAGCCTGAGATCGAAAGTGTTTGATTTTTCCGGAGGGAGGAAAACCGGAGGGCCCGGAGAAAAACCCTCGTGGCACAGGAGAGAACCAATGCACAACTCTACTCACATGCGATCCGCGGCCAGGATTCGAACTGTGGTCACCTTGGTTAGAGGCGAGCGCTTTACGCACAAGCCACCCATGCCACTGTTAATATCAAAACTGTAAAATTTACAGTTTTGGTGTTTTTTTTTATTGTCTCGTATTCTTACGTTTGGCTACTTTATATCTTTTGTAAGGTTGCGGTCATTGTTTAATAGAACAACTTTTATCTTAGCTGCGATGTGAAGACATTGCACTGTTGAAACACTGAATAATGTAATTTTCAATCCGAGAGTGGTACCCAGCCCCTCTGAGCATGGCTGCTGTGTACTGTCTTCCTTGTCTGTAGCACCAGTCTAAATGTCGCTGGTCCATTTGTAGCCATAGATGAGTGCTTTCTAGAACTTTCATGGGAATATCTGTAAAATGTGTTCAATACAATAGTGATATCGGTAGTGATTAATAACATGTATTGAAAGACATGGAGTACCAAAGTGAATACGTCACACACACAAAATGTGTGTAAAAGACATTAGCGCGTGATTAAGCCCGTGAACCAACACGCGCGCGTACTCCATTCGTTTGCACTACACTTTCTGGTTCTAAATGACGTCACACTTCGGTACTACATAACATTGCCATAATAATGTCTGGTGTTGCAGGTAGTTGCAGTGACTTACAACTGTACAAGTAAAATGTTTTCCTTAAATTAAACCATCTGTGTTTTCACTTCTAGCTGAATAAATTCCCCCCCCCCCAAAAAAAAATTGAAATTGAAAAGAATTTTATCTTTCTCAAGAACAATTACAAGGAATGTAAAAATGTAACAACAATTTTTTAAAAAAAGAATGTCCAAAAATAGTCAGTTCTCATGAATTGATTTGTTAAAACAAACTGTGCGCCCCTCTAAAACTACTGTTTCTTTTTCTTCAAAACTAAAACAATAAGCCTCTGTACTGATGACGTCACACTTTGTTTACGTGTGTGCTTTCCTATGGTACTCAGTGGACCGTGGGCCCCCACTGGCTCCATAGGAAAGTGCACATGTAAACAAAGTGGACGTCATCATGGAGGCTTATTTTCTGCCATGTTTTCATTTTCCAAATTTCAGATTGTCTATCCGATCAGACTTTAAAATTTAACCGGCCCATGATTCAGTTTTGTAAAAACAAAAAAAAGTGACTACAGGCTTAGTATTTTTACAGAAATAGACCAAAAACAAAATGGCTGAAAATAAATTTCTATTGAATAAAAAAAATGCATAAATGTATAATATTATCCTGAGCATTTTATAGGCTGCAACTGTTTACATAGAATAGTAACGTAGATACTTTTATAAAAATAAATAATACATGTGTAACGTTATGTGACCTAACATTTTAAAGAAATAATATTTATGAGATTAGCTGTACTGTAATAAAGATAGCTGTTTTAAAAAAGCAATGTATTTTTTATTTTTTTGAGTGTTCAAACTACGCATTGAAATGTAAAAATGTTGTAGTTTCACGATTCATGTAGTAGTTTTAACTCTGTATAAATTGACTTACATGGACTTAGAATAAAATGTGCAATAATACTTGAGCGTAATTGTATGAACAACAATCTCTTGATTTGTGTTTCTTTTACAGGGATTCGTTAGCGGCTATAGAGTAATAATTTCGGCCAGATATTTTCCATTTAATTAACCCCAACACCGTATGAATTTTTGCCGAAATCTGATCTTGTTATGAATCTCGGCAGCACATTCTCGATCGATTTTTGATAAAAATATCAGTTATTTCTGGTAACGTGACAATGAATTCCTCAGTAGTGTATGCCGGTTTCGTGTGCGAGGGGAGCAGAACGGGTGATTTTTTTTCAGAAAGAGTGACCCCAATTTTCGTCCTGGCTATCATACCAACAAAAACCTCCCCTTAAAAAGCGAGCCCCCCCCCCCGTCCGCCTCTATGACGGTAACGCCACTGAACAACGCCCTAATAATTGCTTCCCGGTAGTTTTCATCACTCGTACAAAAATGACAATATTATAAGCGGGCAGGGTTTGTGAGTGTGTTATGGGCGAAGGGGAGGGGGCCGGCGCAGCTGTGTAGGCCTGGCGCGGTTGACCAACGTTGGACAAACGAACTAAGCTATTTCCATGAATTAATTATTACTGTATTTATCTTAAATCTAATTGGTTAATTTTTGTTTTGTTTCTTAAGGTTTCTTCGTTTACTGATACTTTTTGTTTATTGCACGGTAACCTTTAAACACGTGACGCAATGGGGTGTTGAAAATTTTGCGCCTTGGCCTTTTGGTACGGTAGTATCTTAAGTTCGTCATAGCGCCCTCTTTTGGTGGTTCATGCTACCTCAGGCCTCCTGATAAAACTAAAGCCAGTTGAGTAAAACTGGCCACTCGATCATTGATCGTGTGAACACTTATTTACACAATGAGGGTTCAGTCATGGGTATTTCTGGAATGAACAATTCTTTTTACAGAAAAAAATTGTTAGTCGAGAATATTCATCTGTCCTAATATTTTGCGTTGTTGCTCAATACCTCAATTATACGAGTCATGCTCGATGGACCGAAAAAACATGACGTCATGGAAATATGCGCTCAACGTTAGGAACGATATGAATATTCAACAGAAGATACACGGATCTTTCGCGCATTGCGGTGTCACGTGAAAATCCGACTCCTATGAAAATCAGACTCCTTTTCCCTATTATTGGGTAATCCCTCGCACGTGACAGGTCACTCGCCCATGATCCTAAAAATAGCATATTATCGTATTTACGCATGCGCACTACTACCAATGAGTCTATATTTCATGGAGTCGGATATTCACGCTACACCTGAATCATTTGACGATGAACCAATCCATGGGTATATACCGGTGTCCCTAGAATCGATATTAAAAGAATCGATCTTTTCCGGTGAAGAAATTGTCAGACCACATATTATTTGCTGGTCAATGTTCTTGATTTTTTCAAATTCGAATATCATATTTTCTCCTAAGTTTTTGTCAGTTTCATATTTGAGTTGTGCCCCGATTTGACATAAAATAAATAAAACTTTTATTTAGAAGCTCTCTTGCAAAACACAAGAGGTCTTATAATTGCTAATTTATCTTTTCAAAAGCTTCCAGCTAATAGAAGCGGTTCTTTTGATCTGCACAAAATCTTTAAGTTTTCCAACAACTCAATCAAGCAACCGACCTTTTAAAATTAGTCCAATCCAAGTGATAGAAAAATATATTTATCAAATTTGAAATAAATTTAGCAAATGGCGTGGCGTTCTGAAATCAATCCTAACAAAAACTACCCAAAACAAACAAAACAAGAACGACCAAACATAAGCAAAATAACATTAAAAAAATAAACAAAACCCCACAATTTTCTTTCCGTGCAATTCATAAAAATAAAATTTCAAACCATGAATTTCGATACCGAGACACTGAAACTGACGTTTTCGGATACCCCAGATATCGAATAATTGAGATCGATTCTACGAATTCGCGAGTGGCATGCTAAAAAAAAACGAGCTAAAGAAAAAGGCAAAAAGAAGGAAGTCGATCTCGTCATTGTTTAGAATCTCTGAATTCTTCTACAAATAAACGAACACACTTACACAGATATGGCGTTAAAGAGAATAAATAAGGTAATGATTTCATGTTACTTATTTTTGAAATGATTGTTGTAATGTGTGTCAAATTTTTCTCGGATTTTGTCGACCATCGCCAAAACCCGGCACGACAATTGACCGACATGACCGAATGGTTTGTGCATATGACGACGTCGTTATTCATCATCGTGTGCCCGCCCTATTCACATAACACACGTCGTTTGTATTCCGAGAATTGTCAGTTATTTCCCCCATGTTGTAACGTATTTTCAACAACAACGTTTCTTGTTCATTTTTTAATTTTCTTTTTCACTTATTTTTGTCATGTCTAGCATGTCTAGTCATTCTAGATCAGATGACATTTAGACCTAGGGCCCTAGTTAATATAATAATAATATTTTTTTCTATTTTTTTTTAGTCATGACTCGACGTGTCGTAATGACAGTCATCACCACCATACACTGCCTTATACACTGCCTTTTAAGTTAAACATTGTCACTAAGTTCACTGTATATAATGTGCATTGTCAATGTCATGTAATTTTGTACAACACTTGAAATAATCAAACACAGTAACTGACAGTCAGACAGTGCATGTTTCATTGTTTGGGGATAAATATTATGGAAAGTTGATATAAAAAAAGAAAACATTCCTTAACAACAGATTTTAGCTGAACAAAAACAGCTTAACTTGAAATTATATACATTTTCAGTTAATTATTTAAATTAAACAGTAGTACTTTCATTGTTTGTTTTTTTAATTCTTAGGGAATAGAGTTCTTTCGTAACAGCTACATGTACGCAGCCATTCTTTAACCCTAACCTCCCCAACTCCATCAAAATCCACCCCCCCCCTCCCAATTTTGGTGGATTTGGTGGGACTTTGTCCTGCAGTCCTGGTTTGACTAAATATTGATGGAGTATGATGGACTTGGCCTGGAGGCCTAAACCAAAGCAAGCATTAAGAAGCAGTGTGATTGATGGATTTTGGTGGACTTGGTCCAGTACTTAGTAAAAGACTTAGGGATTTGGGGTAATCTAAATCAAGTGCAAATCGTTTGATGAATTTTCTAGATCTTTTGATCTAAAGCCAAAATTAAGGGCTTACATAACTGAAAAATGACAAACAAAACCATCCTAAACTGAAGCAGAGACAAGAATATAGTCAAACATGTTATGATGGAACATTGAAAAACACATGTATCTTTGTTTATAGATTCCAAAATCATGGCAAATAGCACTTTTTTTTCTCCACATGACAGTGTCGACTTTCAAAAGATATTGAAAGAACGTAGGTACACATGTAGACCAATTCATGGATACCACCATCTTTGTACACATGGTAATCTGAAAGGACATTTCAATTGAAACGCATAACATCCCATCATGCCATTGTAACCCTTGCAACAATTCATTGTCTTTTTTCTCTTTTAGGAACTTCAAGATTTAGGGCGAGACCCACCAGCCCAGTGTTCAGCAGGTCCAGTAGGAGACGACAGTAAGATTTGAATAGTTCTCCTCCCCTCCTCCCCCATCATGGGGTTTCATGCATAATCAAAAAAAAATGCTAAGCAGAAAAGATCTTTAAGCAGAAATCACTCGGAGTACCAGTCACAACCAATGTACATCACATGGCATTTTTTTGGCCGGTAACCTGTTTTTGCTAAGTAGAAATGTACTGCACTTAGCACATTCCCATGCTTGGCAGCTCTGTTACATTAATAGCTCGAGGTAGTACAGGGTGAGTAAAAAAAACCAAGGAAACCCAAATAGTGCCCCCTATTTTGTAAAGACTTCTGCATGTAGCGCTTTCCCGATATATAAAAGTCCAATTAATAAGCTTTCTTTTAGTGAAAGAATTATTCAAATCTGGAATTTTGAACACAAACACTGTTTTTTAACCTTGTCGATGGATCACAATAAAGGTAAGTGATATTTCAGCAAAACGAAAAGTATTCACATTATATTCAAAAATATCACATATCCATTTTTACTGAAATATCACGTAACTTAAATGTGATCTAAGGACAAGGTTAATAAACAGTGTTTGTATTCAAAATTCCATAACTCGGAAAGTACATGAGCGATTTAAATGATTCTTTCACTAAAAGAAAGCTTATTAAGGCCAAAAAAAATAATAAGACGGTCTCTGGTCAGCGCGCGCGTCGATTTTAATCATGCGCGTCGATCTTTGTTTTTTTTCAAAATGTTCCGCGGTAGCTCCAACAGCGCCCTCTATTTCCGCACCTCCTCAATTTTTTTTACCAAAGAGCACCAAGGAATGGGAAATTGCACCAAGGCAGATGATCGAAAGCACCAAGGCAAATTATGGAGGACACCAATGTACATGAGGACATCAAAAAAGCAAAATAGTACCCCACCTTGTCTGTACAATCCAAGCTTGAAGAACAACAAAAAAAAAGCCAAAAAAAAAAAAAAAGCTGCGTGGCCATGTCAATTCCGGAACTTTGGTCTGACCAGAGACCAAATATTTTTTTTTTTTTGGCCTAACCCTAACTGAACTCAACCAAACAAAGCCCAACAGCAGGTGTTGTTGAAATATGTTAGAATGGGTACAGTACCCCCAAACTGATGGTCTTTTACATTGGGCTTGGCATATCTCCAGAAACTAAGTCCAACAGTGTGTGTGTGTACGATTTCCCATGTGGGTGTTGGAATTTGCGAGGTTGGGTACGGTTCCTAGTAAATTATATGCTAGGGAGTTTGGAGTTAGGGTTAATTGGGCTTTCATATCCTGGATTTGGAAAACACTACATGTACATGCAGAAATTCTTTAAAAAATTGGGGGTGCCATTTGGTTTTTTTTTTTTGGTTTTTTTTTACTCACCCTGTGCAGTAAGATTCCTTGACACTTCAAGTGTGAAGCAATTTCCATGTGTCAAAGTCAAGGCCGTTATTGAAGGAAACTCCGGCTAAGCGTGGATGTAGGGCAGGAAATGACCCACTAATTCCCCTTATTGACAACCTTTTAACTGTTTTCCTTGTTCGTAAAGCCTTAAATGTCAAGTTTGGTCAGATAGCAGCGCTAAGCACGATGGTGATGCAGTGTGCAAACTCTGTGTCCGCTTTCAAATACGCTGCTACTTGTACATTGAACTTCACAGCAATTATCATTGTGGATATACGCGGGGAAAAATAGGTTGCATGTATACGTGTATGTGTACATGTACATGTAGCAGTGTTTGAACATGTGGCTATTTATAGATCTTCATTCGTAGAAATGTTTGTCTAGATACAGTTTTTCTCACATTGACATACATGTACTTTAACCCTCCTACTGTTTGAACAGTCACAGACAGTCATTCCGCTTCCCCTGCCATGCCTTTTACACAGGCTAGTAGTCAAGCAAGCACTCTGACTAGTCAAATTCAGTCAGAGAAAAGCAGGCAACTGGTAGCCACAGTTGTCTTATCAATCGCCTACAGTCAAAGCATGCATGTTGTTTTACCAAGTTACATAAACATGTAGGCTGGGAGCTCTTAACTGTTGAAAACAGTCACTTGATTGATTTTTGACTGAAAGGACAACTTGGCTCAGAATGTATGTTTGCATAGGAGGGTTAATAAAAAAAAAAGGAGTTCAGTTAGGCCAAAAAAATAAAATACTCGGTCTCTGGTCAGCGCGCGCGTCGATTTTAATCATGCGCGTCAACCTTTTTTTTTTTTCAAATTAACACGGAAGCTACAACAGCGCCCTCTATTGCTGCGCCTCCTCAAATATTTGTACCAAGGAGCACCAAGGAATGGGGAAATCGCATCACGGCAAATGATAAAGGGCACCAAGGCAAATTATGGAGGACACCAATGTATAATGAGGACACAAAAATGCAAAATAGTACCCACCTTGTCTGTACAATACAAGCTTGAAAAAAAAAAGCCACCAAAAAAAAAAAAAACCGCGTCGCCGCATCAATTCCAGAACTTCGGTCTGACCACAGACTGACTATTTTTTTTTTGGGCCTTATGGAAACTAAATGAATGTTTCTTTTTTCTGTTGACAGTGTTTCACTGGCAGGCAACTATAATGGGTCCAGTGAGTATTCCCCATTTGTCTTTTATGATTTAAGTAATAATCTATTCTGTATCATGAAGTTTGCAGTGAAAGGTCAACGGATTTGAAATGTGATTGACAATCGGGTTCGTTACTGTGACGTCACTTCAGTTTAAACCATGCCCACTGCACATTAAGTAGCATTGAAACCTTTGGAACTGGAATTTAACGCGCTTGAGTGTTTAGCTTGTAATCAGTTGTGCATGCGTGTGTTTGACAACGTCACTAACGAACCGGATAGTCACTGAAAAGGCCGGCCTTTTTTTTGTATTTTCCTCTGTAGACCGTACTCAGTTGACCGGGGTAGGTTTTCTTTCGTAAATTCATTCGTTCATATCAATAAAGTACGGCGTGGAATGATCATGGAATCGAGTCCAGAGATTTAAGCGCTGATCAGTTTCTGGCTGTCATCAACAAGTTCAATTGTCTCATGATTTTTCTGCCCGAATATGATCATTATACACCCATCTCAGATTCGGAAACCAGAATTTCTAAATTTTATTTTGAACTTAGAATAAAAGGTGTTTTGAAAGTGGGCTTGAAATTGTAGTAACTTATGTCATTTTGTATTTGTGTTGTTTTTTTGTATGATACATTGAATATAATAGTCGCAGGAAATCCTTGTGGTCAAGTGGGAAGGTTAACCTGAAATTTGAGGCCGGAAATATATTGTGTTTACTTTCGTTTTAGTTGTTCATGTAATTGTAGATGATTAAACTGACGATTTATTATTCTCCATTGTGTTTTTTCTCCGTAGCCTGACAGTTCTTATCAAGGTGGTGTGTTTTTCCTGACCATACACTTTCCTACAGATTATCCCTTCAAACCACCCAAGGTGAGCGTTTTAACCCTAACGTACCTGAATCCATCAAAATCCACACCCCTGGTTTGGAGGATTTCGGCGGAATCGGGATACCTCCATATTGAAGCAGTTGGGGGATTTTGATGGATTCAGGACAGCAAGCCTAGCGGTGCTGTGCAGGATTTTGATGGATTCAGGATGCCTGCATATTTAGCGCTTAGGGGACTTTGATGGATTCAGGATCTCAACAGATTTACTCCCGGCTAAGTGGTGGATTCTGATGGACTGATAGGCCACCTACATTTTTTTTGCATGGCAAAATTGATGGATTTTGGCAGATTCAGGATTTTTTTTAGTAAAAATACCCAAGGGTTTAGGGTTAACAAACTACTGTCACAGTAAGAATTGGACTGTTCTGGATCTGGCCATAAAGCCCCGCCCACTCAGTAGGTTTGGCAACAAGACATACGCCTCTCCACTATCACATGTTCCAACCACATCCATCGTATTGAACTTTGATTGGATGTTTGGATGGGCAGTCACGGCTGTGATTAGTCAAACATTATGAAGGGCGGAGCTTCAAGAGTTTAAGTTTGTAGTTTTGAGGAGAAATCAATTAAAAGTAGAGTACGTCATTTGTGAATTTTGTTTTCATTAGAAGCAACAAAAGTACTCAAAATCTAAAGAAGGGTGCTTATAACAACTAACCTGATGAAGTTTTAGCTCAGTGAATGCTGTATAGTCCGAGAAAACAATATTCTAGTATCGCGATTTTGATTCAAAAGTTGCAGAGTCATGTTTTAAATTACGCCTAAAATCAGTGTTCAGTCCTTCTGATTTGAAAATCACAGGCGTGTGGAAAAAGGCACACCTGGATTTTTCTAGCGTGTGGTTTTTCTAGGTGTGTGATTTTCTAGGTGTGTGATTCTGCGGTCCAGGCCTCCAGGAAAGTTCAGGTGTGCAATTATTCACACTTCTCGGGAAGCTTTTAGGCGTGCGATGGCGTTGGGGTGCGATCACACAGCTCAAATCAGAACAAGTCTGGGACATGTTCTCATTCAGCGGATTGCAGCTACACGATGTCGCGCACCGAACCGATGAATTTTCGCATAATTCACGCAATACACGCAGTAGCTAGTGCAATCGTGAGTGGAGACACCATCTACTGTTAATACATGCAGTTCATATCCCTTTCAACAGAACTCGCTTCCCTTTTTTCGTCCCTCTATTTCCCCCATCAGGTGGCCTTTACAACAAAAATTTACCATCCAAACATTAACAGCAATGGAAGCATCTGTCTAGACATCTTAAGGTCACAGTGGTCGCCTGCGCTCACAATCTCAAAAGGTAAGCCTCTGTTTTTGTTTCTTGAAGGGGGGGAGGACTTAAATTCCTCTTGGCAGAAGTGTCATCGATTACAAACAAAATGTGGACTAACTAAATTTGGTAAATTGGGGGCATTTTTTGAAGAAAAAAATCGATGGTCGGCCGACCATAGTTGGAAAATTGATACAAAAAGTCAACTTTTCGTGAAAATGACAGCACACCAGGTGCCATGATTTCACAGGATGCTTGAGACTATTATTCACTCACAGTCAATTTTGGTAGTTTTGCTTTTTTTTGATGTTTGCAAATGTTGTGCATTACCTTTAACGAAAGATCAAGACCGGCTAGATTTAGGGAACGAAGTCCAAATCCACTCCACTGAGACGAAGGTTGGTCTTTAGTACAGACGGTCACCGATATACCCTCCAAATAATTTGTGCTCTTTTTTTCTAACTTCTTTGTTTTCATCTTCTCCGCCAGTGTTACTGTCAATCTGCTCGCTCCTCAATGATCCCAATCCAGACGACCCACTGGTGCCCGACATAGCCCGTATCTACAAGTCCGATAGAGGAAAATACAACGAAACGGCCAAGGAATGGACGAGAAAATACGCCATGTGATCAAACCCTCCCTATCCCTAAGAGAGAAAAAAAAACACCCACACACAAAATTAATAAACGAATCACTGAAGATCTCTGTATCATCAGATGAGAAAAATAAATTCCCCGAGTGTAAGCTGGACAGATCGGGAAGTAGTGAGTTTTGGGTAGTCTTGATATTCTCACAACTTGTTCCCCCCTTACCATTTTGAAACCCCACCCCTTTTTTGGGTAATTGTCGTCTTGTGGGGGAAGGGTTGTCGTTTTTTGTTACAGACACTCGAGTGTTTACTTAATTTGATTTTTTTTATGGTTTATCATTCGCAAGGTCATTTATAAAACATATCGTAGAAATCCAAAACTTTTCACACGTGACTGGAAAAAAAAAATTTGAAACACCGAATTGTTAAATAAAGATAATTGTGGTTCATAAACATATGTTTTTGGTAACTTCGGTGGAGTCACTTCTGATATTCAAATGTAAAATATTACCGTTTGGAGCCGAAATTGTTCAGGTAAGGAATTCTAGTTGAGTAAGGGAGGAAAATGATCTAAATTCCACCATTTTGAACCCTTTTTTTTTTTTTTCTAAATAGCCTTGTTGAACGAATTTGCTGTTTTTGTTTTTTGGTGTGTCAATTTTTTTTGTACGTGACAGCACTAATGCTTCAAGCATACGTCGTCGTTTCTCTCCCCTTCGCCCCCCACCCCTGCTCCCCGACCATCGTTTACACACCTCAATGGCCAGGAACAGAAACCTTCCCCGCAGCTTGTAGAAACTTTTCTGTCCTGACTTTTCCTGGCTTTCTCTCCAAGACCAATGTTTTGTAGAAGATAGGGAATCTTTTGAGTTGTACAGTAGGTACCGTAAAAAAAAAAAATTTAAAAAAAATTGTGTTGATACAGGAAGCATCAGTTGTGTAAAAGGCAAATCTATCGTAATGGACACAGAATCCTTGTTAGGTTGTGGACGGTTAGATGCGGGAAGTTTTTAAGGAAATTGGGGTCGTTGCTCGTAATCCACACATCACATGGTTCAGTGGAGGAAAAAAAAAAAATTATGCAATCTGAAGACTGTTTTTTCAAACTGATACCATTCCTTATTTAAGTACCAGTACCTCATTTCTACTTCTGTTACGATGGATTTGGTCTGTGCGTGTCTCGTATGTGTAATGTGCATAATGGCTTCTCACTGTTCCTACCTATTGTTCTTAGAAATCCTGGTTTGAAGTATTTCCATGGTGCCATTTCATTTGTAATCAATCTGGGGTGGGTTTTTTTTTAATGACACTTTGTAATTTAGTGGAAAGACTAATTTTCCACCAAAAAAAATGAAAAAGAATACGCTTATAATAACATCTGGTACATGCACACTAATTCGATGTCATTTTTTACAAATTATTGTAAAATTGAGGTAGCGGCCATCTTGGTGTAGTTCCTCGAATGCTTTATTAAGATAACTTGTGTTGAGTCATTGGAACATGGGCACCAACCTATTTTCCATACGTTTTTTTTGTTTCTATTGTTTTCCATAATCCGACGTGCATAAAAGCCAAACTTACTGCTGTTACATTAAAATAGACCTTTTTGCTTCAAAACCATGCAATTTCTCAAGCAAGTCTAAGCACCAGTATTGGATTCAGTTCTCTTTGGGGAAAAAAAACATTGTGAATTCCACAGAATTCCACGGTGAACCCAGAAATCACATTTGTAAAATTGTACATGTTTGTTTTGATGTAAGTTTTAAGTAACTCACACTTATACACGAGCTTGGACCCTTGCAGCAATGGTCTTTGTGTAGTTTGACCTAAAAAAAAAAAAGTTGCAAGCAAAAACCTAGCTCAGCTTGACTTAAACCCTAACCACCCCAACATTTCAAAATCCAACTGCATGTCTTGTTGGAATCTGTTGGAGTGAGTACTGCACTAGCAAACTGATTATGCTTTACATGGGTTCAGGCATACCACCATAATCAGAGTCCAACAGTTGGGTGTTGAGTTAACCATATCGTCACCGACACCACGAAGGAACACCCAAGTCCAGTGTTACTTCGTGAAAACCGCTACGTGACCAATTTTGGTTTCACGAAGTAACAACCAAGTGTGCATGAATAAATCAGACACTGGCGTGAACAATTTCCGTTTTCACAAAGTTACAAAACTGTTACGGAAATACAATTTGGGTAAAGACGTTTTAAAACGTTTTGATAGGAATGTCATTAATCCGTATTCTTGTGGGATTACAGAAAAATTCAATGAAAGGCCTTTAAACTCGTGAAATAAAGATGGGTGTTACTTCGTGAAAACGAAACTGTTCCGAGTGAGCACATAGTGTACTTGGGTGTAACTTCGTGAAAACGAAAATCACTCGGTTCTGTAAAAAAAACGCATGCGTAGCACGCACTCGAGTCCACTCGGGTGTGACTTCCTGGTGTCGTTGACGATATGGTGTTGGATTTTGCCAGACTGAGGAGGTTCATGCCAAATCACTCAAGGGGTTAGGGTTGATCCTGCAGATACTCACTACCCACGTCGAGAAATCCACTTTTAAATTTTGGCACGCTTTTAGTAAATTGCTTGTAATCCTCCAGCTTGATTTTGACTTTTACACTGAACTCTGTAATTGTGAATATACCTAATTTGCATATTGTTAACGAACCCAATGACCTGGGTCTTGTCAATATCCTAGTCCTCTTGTTTACTCGCTTTAGATTATACACTAGTGCACATGAGTCCAGATTAACAGGAAATAAATGTTTATCATGTAAAAAAAAACTTGGAGAAAAAAGTTTGTTGATATTTTCTTTCTTTTTCAAAATCTCTCGCATTATTTCCCAGAGTAGAAGGTGACATATTGCCCACACAGTACAAACTTCCTCAGGTTTGGTTCCCAGACTTGTTAGCCTTGCTGATGCTGCAGACACGATATCAGTGACCAGACTAATTACTCGGGTTGGCAGCCATAATGAAAAGCGTGTGGGTCAACCTCGTCCCCAGGGTGTTGAGCAGTACGCGCCCACCATTACCTGCTCACTATTGGAAACTACATGTAGGTTGAAATTAAAGTAAGCCCTTGGGACGAGGTTGCATGTGGGTGTCTTCATGAGCCTGATGTAGTATGTGAAAATCACTTAATTTTTTTTTACAGAATTTACTTTGGGAGAGGCTATGAAACAATAATCAATCTCTTTTGTAAAGAAATTGCTTTAAAAACTGCATAAGCTTTAAATTTGAACATTCATTAGGTGTTGGGAGACGATCAGACGAGTGTTATGTGGAGAGTTTTGTTTTGAGAGTCATGTTTAAAAAAAATGGTTGTAGTCCCTGAACCTTTCTGATAAAATTACTATTATTGTAAATCTTATTTTGTAACTAGTGATCATATATACCAGAACAAAACAAAAACATTCTCTGAAAGTTTCTGATGTGTTTTTTTTCCCTGATGGCTAACACTAGAGCTTATCTTTTCGAATAATTCTGTGCATTTGAGACAAATGTAGGTACATGCACTTCAATGCTGTATTTATTTTTAAGGAAAAAACCATTGTCATGATGTCTTAATCTCCAAAGATTTTGACCCCCTACAACAAAGAATTATTTTATTTTTTTGTTTTTCCCTCTTTCGATTAAGCTACAATGTTTAATGGTCCTTGTCCCCATCTTTAGCAAAAGCCCAGGTTTAGTTTTGTTATTGCTGTTTACATGTTTCAACCAATGTTGTTTGTGCCATGTACGGGTTGGTAAACACCGATTAAACTTGGAAGCTTCTGGATAAACATAATTGTCATCCACAACATTGATTTAATAGCCTTTTTTTTTGGTGTCTTTCGTCATTGTTTAATTAGAGGCAGCTTAATTTTACGACTGGAAACCTCATTATTAGCTACTAAAGGCACAATTTTCTATCTCCTAATATGAAAAATGTTGCCACCTCTAAAACTGGGTCTCATTTTTGCTGACTTTATTGTATACTTTTATTTGGTGGGGGGGGGGGGCAACTTTTAGGCCTAATTTTCCATCATTCAGTTTCTGAACCTTTTGCTATTTTTGTAGTGGACTTCATTTTTTTTTGGGGGGGGGGTTATTTCCCATTACCCCCCCCCCCCCCAACACCCACATATTAGGGTGCTACGGCCTCCCCTCCATTGCAGGAAAAATTAACAATTTACACACAAGCCGGAATTGACACTGACTACAGTTTGAAAGAAGCTCAACTTGAAAAAGTGATGTATTTTTGCTGCATTGCATAATTTCCTTGACAAAAAATCTCACCGCAAGAGGGCGTTGTCATGCCGTCTCATTATAGTCTGGTACCTTTTTAATGCCGTCGCGCTTGCAATGTAGTGCAACGAGTAATTTGCCCCGAATCGATCAGGAACCAGCCAAGTGTCAAATGATGGGGAATCTCCGGAGTGAAAATGGTTCTGGAAACGAGTGATAAAATTGGCCAGATTTACATCGTTTGGTAAGTAAAATTATTTGATCAATTGACACATTAGAATTTTGAGTACCTTGAAAAGAAGGGTACAACTATAGAATGCAGGGCCACTTTACTCTACATCCGCGCCTCCGTACGGCTGCGTGGAGGCGTGGAACCGCAGTCGACCTACCTCTGAAAATCGATCGTGGAGTCGTGGAGCCGCAGAGAATTGCGCCCTCTATCGGTGCGCGTCTCTGCGACTCTGCGACTCCGCGACTCCGCGCCTCCACCACTGAGAGACAGTGCCCCGTCGCCCTCCCCCCCTTCCTAATTTGCGCGCCCAATTAAAGCGACTCTGCGACTCCCCGACTCCGCGCCTCCGCGACTCCAGACAGTGCCCCGTCGCCCTCCCCCCCCTTCCTAATTGGCCCGCCCAATTAAAGTGACTCTGCGACTCCCCGACTCCGCGCCTCCGCGACTCCAGACAGTGCCCCGTCGCCCTCCCCCCTTCCTAATTGGCCCGCCCAATTAAAGTGACTCTGCGACTCCCCGACTCCGCGCCTCCGCGACTCCAGACAGTGCCCCGTCGCCCTCCCCCCCCCCTTCCTAATTGGCCCGCCCAATTAAAGTGACTCTGCGACTCCCCGACTCCGCGCCTCCGCGACTCCAGACAGTGCCCCGTCGCCCTCCCCCCCCTTCCTAATTGGCCCGCCCAATTAAAGTGACTCTGCGACTCCCCGACTCCGCGCCTCCGCGACTCCAGACAGTGCCCCGTCGCCCTCCCCCCCCCTTCCTAATTGGCCCGCCCAATTAAAGTGACTCTGCGACTCCCCGACTCCGCGCCTCCGCGACTCCAGACAGTGCCCTGTCGCCCTCCTCCCCCTTCCTAATTGGCCCGCCCAATTAAAATGGATATGGATGCTTCGTTCTCAAAAAGATTCCGCCGAGAATTGCGCCCTCTATCGGTGCGCGTCTCTGCGACTCCGCGACTCCGCGCCAGGCCTCCGCCACTGCGGCCACTCCAGTGCCCCGCGTCTCCGCGATTCTGCGACTCCAAGACTCCGCGCCTCCGCCGCTCCAGACAGTGCCCCCAACACATTTACAAGCACGTCCTCCCTTCCGATCCTTCATGAGAAGCTTTGAAGACAAGTGCAGTGCATTCCTTCGCTGTACTTAGCACTTTTTGCAGGTTTGCATATCTATTACTCCTATTCCATCCACGCCTCCAGGCAAAATAAAAAACCTTGCTTCGGCGTGGCCCTGCATTCTATAGTTGCTCCAAAAGAAGGAAGTGTAATGATATAATCTAGAAAGAAAAGTCCGGATGAAATGCTACCCTTCCTAGAATTCTCGATGTTGAATTTGTCTTTTTTTTTACCAGTTGACTGAGCCGGTTGCGGTTGGGGGTGGGGCCGGGGGGATGGGGGGGGGGGGAGAAAACATGTTGCAACCTGATGCCACTTTTTCTTCATATATCTCTATTTCCAGAACTGGTTAATCCTTACTTTTAGGACACCTCTATTTTTTACGAGTTCTGTTCAAAACTGACTTTTGCAGATGACTGTCCAGTACCAAAGTGACTTTTGCAGGCTAAAGCAGTCTTTTTTTCTTCATATAAACTCATGTTAGTTGTAATTTTGAAAGCACTTTCAAAGAAAATGTGACTGTCCTACCTTTTTTCGCAGTCAGACGTGCATGTTGTAGTTCTCACACGCATGAAAGCCCTACATAATGAAAACCCGATGCTGATTGGCTGCTAAAAAAAATAAATAAGAATGTTTATTTTTTATCAGCCAATCAGCATCAAGCTTTCATCGCATTGAGCTTTTGGGTTTGCCATCTTGGTTTTTGAGTCTGTTTTCTGGTTGTCACTGTCGTCTTTTACGGGCCCCTTAATTTCCCTCATAAATCAAAGCCCTGCCCTCTCTCCACAAAATTAAACCTGCTGATATTCAAGAAGGTGTCATTGCCAATTGTTCAAATGTGCCAAGAAATATCATAATGTCAATTTTGAGTGTCATTTAGTCAACTGTTTTTGGTGAGTCTTTACCTTCCTATATAGGAACGGGGTCCTAAAAGTAAGGATTACCCAGAACTGTAAGGTTTTTTACACACCTTACAGAAAGACCAATTGAAAGTGCTGTAGAAAAAAATTCTCAATTTGGGTGAGTGGGTTGAAATTCCTCAAATGTCATTGTCAATGTCAAACAAAAATGTGAAATTTACCAGAATTTACCAGACGCACTCGGCCGTCTGTCATCGTTTGCCGTCGACTGAGGGCGCTTTAATTCTCTTGACCAGCCACAGGGTGGCTTTCATTCTGAGAGTGTCCCCGTGCCTCACGCGATGAAATGAAAGCCAATTCACTAAAATATCCAAATAAATGGCCACGATATATAGCCCCACTTGTGTGGCCTTGGTATTGCTGCACTGTACGTTAGGCCACACGTCTGGTTTCCCAACTTACTGAGGAGTTTAGTCCAAACACTGGCGCATATGGACTCCAGAAAGATGCTAAATTTCTTGAAAAATTTGAAGAAAGATTATCTAATCTAACGGAGGGCAAAAGATGAGAAATAATAGAATGCAACCATATACACTGGTATGTAAAAAAAAATGTCAAAAAGGGAGCGCCAGTGTTTGGAATATACTCCTCAGTAGTACTGGAGCACCTGGCGTGTGGCCAGAGATACAGCACAGCGATATCCCGGCCACACTAGTGGGGCTAGCCACTATAGTGCACTTATGATTTCGTTTGTTTGGATGGAATCCTATCCAGAAAGTCAGAGTGCTTCACTGTAGCAGCCATGGAGGACATGGAATTGCTTCCCATCGACCCTCCGCCCTATCGCAATCTACTCCACACCCAGAGAGCGTTTGATCTCCTCAACGATTTCAGAAAGTACGTATGCATTTGCAGGGCCATAGATAAAGGGAATATATACAACATTTGCTTTTGCTGTAATTATCACAAATGGATAGATTAGGGGGTTGGTATTTTATATACTAAATATTGTTACACTGACCTGTTTAAAGTTTTGTGTTCATGGAAGTTGGAAAAACCAAGAACAAAATGCTGTTCTTGTAGTCTTGTTCACTGACCCTAGGAAATTGTCAGGTCAGGAAACGCTTGCACCCGTTTAGGCCCAAAAACCTGTTACTACCTTTAACCCCTTACTACACGCAGACACCTTTATATGATCGTACACACAAAAAATTGCCCCCCCCCCAAAAAAAATATATTTTCCCCCCTACCTACCTAGCCTATTTTCAAATGTCATGTAATCGGAGGCAGATTTGTTTTGGGCCTTATGAATGTGTAATTGATTGCAAACAAAATATGAACTAATTAAATTTTGTAAAGTGGGGACAGTATTTGAAAAAGTCGGTTATCTTCCAACGATTGTCGGCTGACCATCATTGGAAATTCATAAAAAAAAAATCCACTTTTCTTGGAAATGACAGCACACCAGTGACATGATTTCACAGGATGCTTGAGTATATTATTCACTTACAGTCAAGTAAGATATTTCACCATTATTTTCAACTTTTTTTTATGTTTTGCAAATGTATATTGCCTTTAAAACTCATTTCCTGAGATCTGACCATATATAAATACACTGTCGTCCTCCCGCCACCTTTGTTTTATTCAGGCAAAATATACTGTGTGATGTGACGCTGGAAGCGGAGGGGGTGGAGCTTCCCGCCCACCGTGTGGTCCTGGCGGCCTGCAGTCCCTACTTCTCGGCCATGTTCACCAGCGAGCTCTCTGAGTGCCGCGCCCAGAAGATCATCCTGCAGGAGATTGACGGCAGCGCCCTCGCGCTGCTCCTGGACTTCGTCTACACATCGGAGATACAGGTGACCGAGGAAAATGTCCAGGTGAGGGATTTTTGTCGGCCCTAATCCTGCCAAACGTTACACAGTGCATCAGGTGTAAAAGTCTGTGGGGCCTTGCTGCACTGAGCCAGCAACACCAGTGCATAAATGGCCAGTGCTGAAACAATGAGAGCTAGTCCCATTGAACAATGCCACAGTTGTATCCTGCTGCGTTCGGTGACCACCAACTCTGAGGTAGTTTGGCCTTGTGATTTTTGGCCTGATGGATCTTGCTGCACTGGGCAGGCTTGTCATTTTGACAGGTGTTGCATGTTGCTGTGTTTAGCAGGGTTTCTAGCCAAAATACCCTGGAGTGTTTGGGTTGAACTACCCACATGTATTACTTTGTCATTATCATTGTAATGTCAATGAGGGAATATGAATACTTGTGTTTTTAAACACTATGCTTAAGACTGGTTAGAGTCTGGGTTATTATCAGCATCCAGACTCCAACCGGTCTTAAATACAGTGTTTAATACCAGCCGAGCACATGTTTATTCCCATTCATAAATACCTTTTCAATCAGAAAATCAAAGCTTTTCGGGTCCAAAAAGTCAAAACAAGTCAAAATTATAAATTTCCAACGATTTTGTTCAACGATTTTACTTTTTTCGAAACACCCCTCTAGGTACATGTATGTTATGGTAAGGCCCTCTTGCGAGTAGCCGTAAACAACTCCTTATATTGAGATTGGCGTGCGTAATGTTGGCGCAGAACGCAGCTGTGCCGGTGTGGTGTGAATTTAGGACTATGAAATACTGACCCACTGGTAGTATTGCCCATGCCTACATGAGGATTGTGAACGTTCAACCAATAAAACAGTAAAAGGTACCGGATTTCATAGGAGTCAAAATTTCATGTGACACTGAAAAAGTGTTTACGACCAGCCAGCCGGTCTTTATCAACCGTTTAAAACTGGCCACGTGACGGGCTCTCGACCAATAGGGATGGGTAAACTGTCTGAGGTATTTATGAATATTGTTTTTCTACCAGACCCTCTTGCCAGCAGCTAGTCTCCTGCAGCTCATTGATGTCCGCAGTGCATGCTGCGACTTCCTACAGAAGCAGCTGCACCCGACCAACTGCCTGGGCATCAGGGCGTTTGCCGACATGCACTCCTGCAATGAGCTCTATCACTACGCACAGAACTACACCATGCAGCACTTCAGGTAATGATCACGGGTAATTCTGGTTTGTGATTGGTCAGTGGCTGTTTGGCATATCAAGCTCTTCTATTTTGTGATTGGTCAGTGGTCACTTGGCAACAAGCTGTTCTATTTTGTGATAGGTCAATGGCTATTTGGCATCAAGCTCTTCTATTTTGTGATTGGCCAGTGGCCATTTGACAACAAGCTCTTCTATGTTGTGATTGATCAGTGGCTATTTGACAACAAGCTGTTCTTTTTTGTGATTGGTCAATGGCTGTTTGGCAACTAGCTGTTCTAGTTTGTTATTGGGTATTGGCATTTTTGGCACAAAGCAGTTTTATTTTGTTGTTGGTCAGTGGTTATAAAACAAGAAGAGGTTCTGTTTGGTGGTTGGCCAGTAACCGTTTTACAGTTCCACACTAACCAGTAAGATATGTTGTTTGATAAAGACACAACATGCATATTCATGCCATTTAACACAACGCATTAGAATGAGTACCGTAATTGAGTTAATCAGCTGTAATTGTGTCATAAATTTTGTGTTTATCAGATACAAGTGTGCTGATTGTGTACACAGAATGCTGATTGATAAATGAGTTGTTTTTTCTTCCGCAGTGCTGTTGTCCACAGCGATGAGTTCACAGCGTTATCCGCAGATCAAGTCAGTGATCTTATCAGCAGCGATCACCTGACTGTACCCACAGAAGAAGAGGTGAGGAAAATCATGAATAATCATGAACCAATCTGCAAATGTCATTGGTCAGTCTCACATAACATCATGGTTGCCTGCAGATCAAAGTACATGAAATTTCACTGTGTATTGGCCTGACATCCCTTATAGCATGCTCACCATATGGAAATTAGTCAAAAAGTCTGATTTTTTTTCTTCTCTTTGTCAGGTGTTTGAGGCAGTGGTAGGCTGGGTCAACAGCGACCCGTCGAACCGCTGCGACTACATGCCGCGCCTGGTGGAGCACGTGCGGCTGCCGCTGCTCTCGCGAGACTACCTGGTGCAGCGTGTGGAGGAGGAGCCGCTCATCAAGACCAGCAGCAGCTGTAAGGATTACCTGATAGAGGCCATGAAGTACCACCTGCTGGCCAAGGAGCAGAGAGCGCTCATCAAGAACCCTAGGACGAAGCCCAGGACGCCCATTGGACTGCCAAAGGTTGGAGGCAAATTCAGGATATTCTTGTTAAAGATGTACCGTCAATGCTTTTTTTCAGGTTTCACCCACCATAAAAGCTTGCTTTTCTAAATTTCAATTTTTCAGCAATATAAAATTTGATTTTAACCCTTACTCTCTGAGGGTAGTTTACTGCATGTCAGTTGGTTATGCCAATGCCCTCCAGCTGCAGTATATTGGCAGATAAACTATCTTGACAGTGAAGGCTCCAATTGGCAGGAGTTGGAGGCCCTGGAGGGTGCCTGATACTGACCAGCTGGGGGCACTCACTTTGTTATCAGAGGACTCTCATTGTTCTCTGTGGCATGTATTGGAGTGCCTGTCCAGTTACCCTTGAAATGACATGGCAGATATTGGAGGGCCATGCAAAAAACATAGGAGATTTTCTTGAGGCACATATTGGCATGCGTTGGAGGGTCAAGTAGGGTAAGGGTTAAAGGTGATTGAATGGTGGTGTGCATTTATTGGTAGTACAGGAACCGGGTACCCTATTGAAGTATAACATGGGTACCTGAGTACCCGTTAAATAAACCCAACCCACGACCCCAGAAGTTGTCTGAAGGGTTTTATAGCTTTTACAGTGTAAACTGCAACTTTCGCGAGCGTCATCAGTCACGCGTAAAATTGCACATAACGTGAAATCTGTTTTTGGTCTTCCATGTAGCCTGGTTTTCATTTCGAAATTCCCCACAAATGGCATTCAAAACCTTTCTTTTTCATCGTCTGAGAAGTTACTAAGTATTTTGTAAAGTTGGTCACAGCCTGACAGTAATTTCTTTTTGACTCTCAAAATGTAGACACTCAAAATAGGGGGAAAAGTAGGGGTTTCTGTTTCATTAAAATGAAACTGAAGTTAAAAATTCATCAGGAGAAATAAATGTTGAAGAGTACAGACAGTACATCTTTAACAAGGAGTGTGATTTGTTACTTATCATGATCAATTTGTTGTGATCCTTCTAGCTGATGCTTGTGGTGGGTGGTCAAGCCCCCAAGGCCATCCGTAGCGTCGAGGTGTACGACTTCAAGGAGGAGAAGTGGTCCCAGGCTGCCGAGATGCCATCCAGACGCTGCAGGGCAGGTGGGTTCACAGTCTTCAATCCAGAGTTGTGATCAAGTCTTAAAAAGTTGTCACAAGTCATCACAAGTTAATCACAAGTCATCACAAGTTAATCACAGGACATCACAAGTTATCGCAAATCATCAAAATTACATGTCAATCCAAAGACATCATAAGTCCATCACAAGTCGTCACAAGTCAATCACAGATGATGCAGGACATACGATGTCACAAACCATCACAAGACATCACAAGCCATCACAAGTCTTGACAAGTCAATCACAATTCAATTACAAGTCAATCACAAGTCATTTAAAGTGATTACAAGTCGTCCCAAGCCAGCTAAGGCAATCCCAAGACATCACAAGTCAATCACAAGTCCCGAAGTCCCTCGTAAGTTGACATCACAAGACTTAATTCTTGTGAACTCAAGTTTAATGACTGGTGTGAACTGTGAAAGGTATTCCTTTGTCATTGACCATCTTCTGTTACTTGTGACATGAATGACTGATTGAGAATTCCATACCCATATGGCATGGAACATGCATGACCAATTTTCTTCAGACTGTAAGCAAATGAAAAGCATCTTAGCCGAACAACGCATGAGCATGGGCATATTATGGCAGCAGTGCTGCTCAAATGTCCATCATCTCTCTTTATATTTTACCCTTGAGGTGGCGTTTCATCAAAGTTCGTAGGCAATGCTATGAGAAATATAAAATTAAACTCTCTTCATTCAAAACTTGTGAGAATCTGGTCCTTACCATCTTTCAAACGTTCCTGTCCAGGTATTGCGGTACTCAACGGTCTGGTCTACGCTGTTGGCGGCTTCAACGGTTCCCTGCGCGTGAGAACCGTGGACGTGTATGACCCAACCAGGAACATGTGGTCCTCGGTGGCTTCCATGGAGGCGCGACGGAGCACGCTGGGCGTGGCCGTGCTGAACAACCGCATCTACGCAGTGGGAGGTTTTGACGGGACTACAGGTACATTTCAAATCTGACTATGAGAAAAGACTTTACCTATCACGTGTAGTACCAGTACTGCGTCGTACTACATTGTTTTTATTCTCGGATTTATCCATAAAACTGTACAGTACTGGGGCAATCACTAGTCATTGTCCATATAGAGCTACACCCCTAAGCCAGTTAAAGGGAATATACATCATTTGCTTTTGCTGTAATTTTCAGAAATGGATGGAATTGGGGGGTTGGAAATATATAGCAAATATAGTTACACTGACTTTTTTTCAGGTTTTGGGTTCGAAAATGCTATAAAAACCAAGAAAAACAGTCATTTTCCTGTAGTCTGGTTCCCCCTGACTCCATATAAGAAGAAACAGAGCAGTTTACATACATTGGGGAATGGTAAGGTCAGGGAACCAGTCTAGCTGGCTTGTACCCGTTCGTAGGTGTGTAATCGATTGCAAACAAGTGCGATGGTCGATTGGGGCCAGTATTTGAAAAAAAAGCCAGTTTTTTCCAACGCTGGTCGGCCGACCAGCGTTGGAAATTGATACAAAAATACCACTTTTCTTGAAAATGACAGTATACCAGGTGCCATGATTTTACAGGATGCTTTACACTGTCATTCACTAACAGTCCAGCAAGGTATTTCAAAATGATTTGGTAGTTTTATTTTTTGATGTTTGCAAATGTTGTATTTTCCCTTTATTTAAAGATGGTCCACTTTCAAGAATCAAACACTGTTTACAGTGATGTGTAATATTTCAGTGTGATGTTTCCTACCCATTACTGACAATTTCTTGCAGGGCTGAGTAGCGTTGAGGCCTATGACCCTAAGGTGAATGAGTGGCGATCGGTGGCGTGTATGAACACAAGAAGGAGCAGTGTTGGAGTAGCTGTACTCAATGGTAAGATTACACAAGTTCCAGGTGAAAGCAAATTCGAACCTTGCCGACTCTTGAATCAACTCCCTGCGCAGGTAACCTTTCAGTGATGAAAATGACAGTGTGCCGATATTGAAGGACATCATAGCTGTGGTGCTTCACAAGTGTACTCCAGCGAGATTCGAACCTAAGACCTCCAGCTTACTTGTAAAGATGCCTTCCCTGGTAAAGGGTGCGATATTTTGTACTATTGAGCAGTAGGTTGTGGGTTTGAGTACGTTCTTGAACTAAGTTCACAAGCTCTTGCGGAAAGTAGAGTACATATGCTCATAAAAGTTGCATCAGTGTACCATAGGTCAAAAGCTATCATCCCCTCTACACTTTAAAGTACAAAGAGTGTATGTGTGTGTGTTCACAAGTTGATTATTCATGTCCAAGAAGCAGGCGAGTTGCCCGGGAAGCCACCTCCCCTGCATATTGGGCGAGGGAAAGCCTCGTAAGAAAATATTTCCTTGTAGTGCACAACTTAAAGCTCCCTCTAAAACCAAGACAGATTTTCAAACTGGACAGAACTGTCTAAAGCAGGCATGCAACTTTTCGTCGGATCTGCTGATTTCCTCGTTTTTTACTTCTCACAAATGCCATTACAAATTGAAAAACACTGTTCAAAGTCTTGTATGGTTTGGAATTTCCTCGGTTTTTCTGAATTCCCAGTTGCATGCCTGCTAAAGGTACCATCATGCAAATTATAATCAAATGGTTTCCTTTTTTCTTTGTTTTATGATAAAGTTTTTTTCAATTTTCACAGATTATCTGTACGCGGTCGGCGGGTACGACGGTGCGTCCAGACATTGCTTGAGTTCCGTGGAACGCTACGACCCTATCAAAGATGAGTGGTCACCGGTTAAAGAAATGAACACCAGGCGGAGTGGAGCAGGTATCCAAAAAGAATTTGTTTTATGTTTTATTTTCAACAATGAATTCGATTTTCGCCCTATTGTACAAGCAGAGTGAAAATTAAGGGATACAGTAAGGATCAAGCTATGTAAATTACAGAAGCAATGCTGACTGCATACTTAGAATATGAAGTATTTAGTAATTGCAATTCACAAATTTAACAATATTTACAAAAATTCCTTAAAAAAAGAAAATGACAGCAAAAGTTGCAGTTAACACTGTTAAGCTATAGAGCTCTTTAGACAACTTCCGGGATTTTAATTTTGGGTTTCTTTTATGGGTGACCGTGTACCCGTGTTTTACTTCAATAGGCTACACAGAAGATTACCTAACAGGAATTTGAAGTGTGGGTGCTAACTCAATGGGCAAGGGTAGTTTTTGCAGAACTTTTGCACGGTTGTGAAGTGCGGAAGACTAGGAGGGTTAATTTTTACCTTACCTAACTTGCAGGTGTAGGCGTTGTGGACGGCATGCTGTATGCCGTGGGCGGACACGACGGCCCCATGGTGCGCAAGAGCGTGGAGATGTACAACCCAGACACCAACGAATGGACGTGTGTGGGTGATATGACCCATTGCAGGAGGAATGCTGGTCAGTCAGTTAGCGTGTCTGTCTGTTTGTCTTGTTCACTAGCTGTCATTCTTTTGTTTGTTACCGTCAGTCACTTATATGTGGATAATAGCTAACATATATTTGTGACCCTCCAACCACATAAAATACATATAATCTTCAATCGATCCTGACTGGTCGATCCAGGGCAACAACAATGTGATATACCTAATCGCACTGTCTGTATCGCACTCTGCGTATTGTGCTATTCTAAGATATGAGTGACATTCCAGCTGCATGCGCTAAACCACTAAAAGGTTCGTGTAAAGTGTGCTAGTTCCAACTTTACTGTGTGTCAAGTTTGCTTGAAGATAAATTTGTTACCGCGCTCGCCATATGTAGTGCGTCTGTGTACCACATACTTCGCCCTCGTGTTATGTGGGACACAGATGCACTACATTATTCCATGTTCCACTCATGATCATGGGATAACTAATAGAATATTGATGAAAACTTGTGTCAATAAATTAGGACAAGTGATGAATGTGTACTCCAAATTTCAATCAGATTGCTTTTATAGAAATGTGTGTTGCTGAGGAGTTCGTTTGGAAAACGTTAACGACAAATTTCTCAATTTTTAAAATTTTTCGAGTTCATAAAATTGGGAAATGAAAATACCTATAACTTTGTCAGATTTTTTCCGAATCCTGTATCCTATTTATCATTGGAAAGCTTATTCAATGACCTTTCCAATGACCCCGAAATCCCACTTTTCAAAAATTCCAAGTGACTGGTTTTGTGCAGGATTGTCACATTTGTCTTTCCAAAAAATTAATTAAGGTAGTGAGCCTGACACTGCAATCCTCACAAAATCTTTCTCAAATGTCAAATGTTCTACTGAACTTGTGCCACAGAATCTACGCAATTCCATGTGAACAGGAATTGTGATCTCCAAGTAATTCCGCAATGGACTTTCCCCTTTTGTAGGCGTGGCAGCCGTCAACACCCTCCTGTACGTGGTGGGCGGCGACGATGGCTCGGCCAACCTCTCCTCGGTGGAGTGCTACGACTCGCGGGCCGACGCCTGGGTGGTCCTGCCGTCCTGCATGACCACGGTCCGCAGCTACTCGGGCGTGGCCATCATCGACAAGCCCACATGACATGAGGAGGGCGCCCCCAGTGGCAACCCAGAGCAAGGGGCCCGCGGCAACGACAGAGACACGGAGTTCCACATCCAGTGGGGTTACTGGTGAAAAAACACCCGAGGGCGCTGTGACCATTGAACCCGGGGCTAACGTCAAGGACCGTGGACCTATGTCATGGAGATGCTAAGCTTGGAAATGGTGCTAAGCGCAAAACTTGTAGCAAAAACTGGTAACCGGCCAGATTGCCATTAGAATGCTTATTACTTAAGACTGGTTCCCAGCCAATTGCTGCTTACCACAAAAATCTGCAAAGCAACATTTCTTCAAAGAACCAGCCATAAGTGAATACACAATGCATGACATTTGTTAGGCGTTCTGGCAGAATGAGACAGAAGTGGGCACAGGTCTAAGTCAAAAAAAAATTCAAAAACCAAATGGGGAGTGACATTTTTTTCTTCATTTTTCAGATTTATATATATTTGTAATCTTTGATATGTCTGCTACACATGTTTTAAAGCAATAGTATAAAAATCGTGGAATAAAAGTGTTTTTTTAACAATTTCATGCTGGGATTATTTTGACAAAAACGGAATGAGGCGCGGGATTACTTTTCACTCGACCTCAAGCCAGGCGGGTTGAAGCCATCACCCTCGGGCAGCACCCTCATATTTCCGGCCTCTTTTGCTGTGAGTGGGTCACTGACAGATGTTTCTGGCCTAGCTCCCTGCGTGTTTATCGGTCATTCCTTCTGAATACCGCAAAACTTTTGCGTGAATACACGGTCTCCAGCGCGAACTGGTTAAGGGAAAACAATTGGCATCTTTCATTTTCGCGACTACAAAACTAGAAATTTATGTAAAAGCCTTTTGTTTTTTCATTACTTTACTTTTGACATTTCTATAAATACAACGTTTAAACAGCCATATCTTGTCAACGGAATGTCCGATTGAACTGCAACAAACAGTATTGTAAGGAGGATTTGAATCTCTATCCCAATACCCGCCAAAAACCCTCATTCAACATCTGCTCAGTTCTGTCTTATTTTGCCAGAGCGCCTCACATTTGTTCCGGTAACCCATTTATGCTGAACAATTGTTTTGGTGCTTAGCATAGTTTTCTGCTTAAGCATGTTTTAGAAATTGGTCCCAAGCATTTCCGAGGCTTCCGTCTAGTGAAGACGACAGAATCCTGTACATTCGATCGTCAGATTTATTTAATTATTTTATTTATTTGTTAATTTTAAAACTCAAAAACAGCAAGGTAGTTACCGCCAAGTTCAACGTAAGCAATCAAACTCAGAAATAAACAGCCACCTTTTATATGTAAGTTATCACAGTCCCTTTAGACGTGATTGCAACATCACATCAAACTTAATTAGTGATGAGCTGTGTGGAGCTGTGATGATATAATTTCAATACCTTGAATATTTAAAGGATCGTCTGAATAAGTGTCGTATACACCAGGGTGTTGTTACTGTGACTCCTGCAAATGTACCTTCAGGGAGACACGTTGTCATAAAAAGTACACCTTGGGAGAAAAGGTAGAGTAGGGAGACATTCAATATCTCCCTGAGGCAAAAATAAAAACTAATTGTCGGTCTCTGGTCAGACCAAAGTTCCGGAAGTGATGCGGTTTTTGTTTTTGGGGTTTTTGGTGTTTTTTTTTTTATTTTTAAGCTTGGATTGTACAGACAAGGTGGGTACTTTTTGTGTCCTCATATACCTTGGTGTCTTCCATCATTTGCCTTGGTGCCCTTCCCCATTCCTTGATATGAAAATTTGAGGCGGTGCGGCAATGGAGGGCACTGTTGTAGCTACTGCGGAAAATTTGAAGAAAAAAAAGATTGACACGCATGATCAAAATCAACGTGCGCTGACCAGGACCGACAATTTTTTTTTTGGCCTAATGTTTCAACTACTTTTTCTAGGCAAATTTTAAGATGGCAAATAGGCTAAATCGATTCCTTGTGATGCATTGATGCAAAAAACAAATTTACAAAGTTTGGTGAGGGTGGGATAAGGTTGGGATCATTAAAGTCATGGTTTTTTTTGCAAGTCTATGGGAATGTCTCCCGGAGGTACCATTTCCAGTAATTTATAATAATTGTAATAATTTTAACAATTTTATTTTTTTGGGGGGAAGAAAAGATGTCTGTAGAAAAACACAAATTTTTAGTGCAATTAAGGAGTGTGGTGACACGTAGCATGCCCTACCTGTTTTGTGCACGGCAGAGAGTAGTTGACCTTTGACTGGTTCCAATGCGCCCTAAAGATCTGTTAAACGCATTCCAGCACTGATGACTACCAGTGAAGGTCACTGTGTGCTCTGCCAACCACCAGAGGGCCAGAACATGCAAACAGCAGTTGAAAAACTGGGCCCAATAAGATGGGACTGTAAAACAAACTATTGCTTAGCAAATGTTATATGCTTAGCCAGAGTTAACGGAGAACCGGTCACTATCAGTATTTATGCAATGCCTTAATAAATCCCCGTCATCTGATTGGTCGGTCATTGATCACATGTCATTGAATTATTAGTCCAAACCCACGGCCCGGCCGCACCGCAAAAATAGGCGTTCTGTTCTGCGGTAAATAAAAGTTTCGTTATTGCATGGTCACACAATTGGTGAATTTGACCAGTCAGATGACGAGGATTTATTCAGGTGTTGTATAACAAAAAATGATGAATGTTTCACACTTGTGCAGTTGAAATAATAATTTCATTAGGTGACTAATGGAATGTTCCATTCCGCTCGGCTTCGCTTCGTGGAATGGAACATTCTATCTGTTAACTCATGAAATTATTCTTACCATTGCACTCGTAAACATTCATTATTTGTATACCATTGCAGGACATTTTTTCCTGTTAACAAGCTTTTTCTAAGCAACTTTTTCTGTGCTTAACATGCTGAACAGCTCCACGAAATAGGCTTGGTTTCTATCAGTATTTTTTAAAAGGATACCGTTGTGTGATAGCGTAGGTTATTAGTGTTACTCTTAACCAACAAAATATTGTCCGAAATTTGTACTTTTTTAAAAATCGTACTTGTGCTTACAAGGTGCTATATTTTTGTTTTCTTGTTTGAAAAAAAAAAGTGATTTTTAAGACATTTTAGCTTGTGACCGTAGAGCTATGTTAACTCACTGAAGTGGCTAGGATAAGACTTGTGCGCCTATCATGTGCAGCTGAAAAGACTTCAGATCATTTGAATTGACGGAAGTGAGATGAAAGACTGTTGCTTCTTCTGTTTTGAAAAAAGAACCAGTTATTTTATCATGCTTCTACATGCACTGAAGTGTTCAGTGCCAAGCCAGGAACACAAATGAAGATATGCCAATTTGCCAAAGGACGTATAATGTTTTGAGCTTTATTTTCCATTATTTAGTGAACGAACAATGGCGCACCGTTATGCTTAACTTCAGATAGTGCTCTCATGATTTAACTTAGCTCTGTGCCTGTTTGTCAGTGCATCTGTCTGTCTTTCTGTTTGTTTGTTTGTTTGTCTGCTTGGTTGTCTGTATCAGACAGTCATCGCTGAACGGTGCATTTATAATTGATAAGCACATTATTTTGACAAATGTGTCCATTACTTGAAACATTAAGAAGCTACACTCAAAACAATACAAGCCACTCTGTTGAGCGGAGAGACACTTGTGTTTAGTTCCCGACTCTTAAATGCAAACATAAATCTTTTTGTTCTTGCAAAATGAGACAGAACTGGGCATAGTCGTAGTGGAGAAAAATGCAAAAACACGAAAGGAAATTATTGCGTTGTGTTTTTTTTTTGGGAGCTTCAAATGGCCTCTGCGTGTGCGGGAGGGCGACATGGTCTTGTGTACACGCATAGGTTGAAGCGCTATCCAGTCAGTATAATACTATAGAGATCAGTGGTTGGAGCATGCAGTTTGAGATTGGAACATGCGCAGTGGGCGGGCTTAATGGTTTTGTGTTTCCATTTTTAAAAGATTTGTTTTTAAAGTAACTTTCAAACAAAATTATGTAGATGTTGCCTCTTACAAAGCTAACACATCAATTGGCCACGAAGGTAGGGGTGGCCTCACAGTGGCGTAGCCAGAGGGGGAGGCTACGCCCCCCATATAAAAATTGTCTACCCCAGCCACTCCCCCCCCCCCCCCCCCCCTTACTGGAAATTTGTTAGTCCTATAAGTGACCATGTTAACATGTTTAAAAAGAAACTGGGTGCCCCCAAACTGTAAAATCACGCCCCCCACCCTCTTTCCACCCCACCCCCTTGCCACCCCACCCCCCACTCGCCCCCCGATGGTGAGAACCCTGGCTACGCTGCTGTGTCCTCATGACAGTGTTTTTATGCAAAAGAATTAGCAGCTAATTTGACACATTTTAGATACACCGAATGAATTGGGCAGATGTCTTATACACTTTGTGCATTAATACTATTGAGGGCCTCTTTATACACCCATTGATAACACATTGGTGAGTGGACTCTGTTGGTCATAAGAAGTTTTTTTTTATACTAGGCAAAATTCAGCGGAATACCAAGTCACAAGCAATATACATTGCATGGCATTTTTGGCTGGTAACCTGTTTTTGCTAAGTAAGCATTTCTGTGCTTAATTTGTTGAGCTCAGCCACTCCGTGACATATTGGCCGTCATTCTTGAATATTTTGTGATCATGTGGAACTCTCTGGTACTTAGGGACAGAAATTAATGTATGAGGTAATATTAAGTCATCCTTTGTCACCCTCATAATAATATAAAATCCCTCTGTTTGGATGTTAATGTGTACATTTAACCTGTATATCACTTGTATAAAGAAAAATAAAAAACTTTGAAATTGCGCTTAAACTGAATGTATTTGTGTAAACTTCTATTGAATTAGGTGTATATATGTTGGGGGAGATATACTAGTGGAGAAAATTTTGTACGGAGTAATATGCGTGATAATTATTGGGTCATTATATTTAAAACCTTATTTTGTTTATAAATTTACACATGTATTAATTTTCAGAAGATGGAAATTAATTTGCTCCATCCATTTCACTATTGCTTTTTCTTTCTAGTTTTCAAAACAGATGTAGTCTTAAATAGTTTGTTAACCCCCCCCCCCCCCAAACCCTACTTTGTCATGCCCACTAGTACTTCTGGTGTTCCGGATGCAGAGGCGGGGAAGTGATATTGAGAAGTAATATTGAGATAACTATATAGCACCCCCCAGCACCCCTCCCCCTCCCCAATGAAATTCACCCCCTCCCAAGTAACCCCACCCCCTCCCACTTTGTTGTGCCCACTACTTCTG